CTTCACCTGCAAAGTCTTTGACAGATATTTGGTGTATAGGGAACATAAGTGGAACTGCAATATATTTGGCAGCTAAAGCATTTGAAATATCTGGGTCCAACATATAGACTGCAAGTCTGCTTTCTTCTCTTGCATTCAAATTTTTCGCATGTGAACTTAACTGGGTCCCAAGCAGTTCCAGCAGCATTGAAATAATAGTTTACTTCAGTGTTGAAGTTTGAGAGAAACCAAAGTCTAGTCAACTTTGTCTTTGCAAAAGTCGGCGAATGACGTTTGATTTGTTCCCTTTACGTCTGTAATAGTGAATGGGTCTTGTGTTGGTGCAATGACTAAGTTATTTTTGCTTGGAGTAAGTTCAATAGAAATTTTTCCTGCCCAGTTTGGCAAGTATCTTAAAAACCTGAAGATGAGGAAAGATGACAAAGGAACTCTAAGTTTCAGTTTTACTTTGGTTACTGCTGCTGCAGTTTGTTCAGAAAGGTTAACATAAACTCCTGGAACGTTAGGGTCAAGTCTTCTTATTTTCTCAATAGTTGCATACTGGTCTGTTTGTTCTCTAGCTTGTGGTTGTACTGAGTTTCTCAAAGCGAACCATTCATAGTTTGCCCATGTTACTGTTTGAACTAAGTCAGAGTTAGAATATATCTTATATCCCATGAAAACTTCTGGAGCATATTGGTATCCGACATAGAAAATTCCATTGCAACCTTTCTTGTCAGACAACTTGGCAGAAGGTTTTATTTCAATGTCTTGTTCCACGTATAAGAATGAGTTGTCAATAGAAATAATATGAAACCTGTCGCAAGCAATATCTACTGTTGTTGAAGAACCTTCTCCAAACTCACCTACGTTTCCATAAGAAACAGCAGTTGTATATTCGTAAGTTCCAGGAACTATTTCTGACCTTCTAATGGCATTGTCGCATTCGTTATACCATTCAGAAACATTTCCGTTCATGGCATCCAAAACTGTTGGCGTTATATTCTGAGCGGCGTACATTTCATATGGGTAAAAATATAGAATAGTTGGATTTATATGTCATAATAGAACCCACTCGTACCAAGCTTTACTTTCTTCCTGACTGAGTTTTGTTGCATCTTTGCATCATGTTCACCTAGTATGTTGTAAATTTCCCATGTCCTTTTTGCCTTTGGGCTCTGGTCGCCCATCTCAGGTAACCTATATCCTAGAAAGATTTTGTCATAGTTTGTATTTGAGTCTTCGCGTATTGTTTGCATGACTCTTTCCTGAGTTTCCGGTTCAAGCTCTTCAAACAGAGCTTGTCCATATGGAATATGCTTGTTTCCAAATATATGTTTTTGTAGCCATTCTGGTTTTCTTTCCATGTAACCAATAATATCTTTTGTGAATGGGAAAGCTTTTACCCAATGTTCCAGTCTTGCGTCATTTATTTCTGTAGTTGGTTTTATTTTGTCATGGAACATGTTTTTCAATACTAACATTTCATTTGGTACTGTCCATTTGAGTTTTCTTAAATATTCATCCCTTCTCTGTTCATTGTCTGCAAAGTAAGTTTTTATGACATTTTGCAAACTTTCGTTTGCAAGGTCATGTACAATAGGTTCTCTTCCTTCTCTCTCCCTAACTCTCTTTCTAAACTCTTCACCAAATATACCATCTCTATGGTTCTGTGTAGTTCTTTGAGATAAATGTTTTAGAACGTCAGGTGTTATATTTCCATCAGCCATGTTCATTTCATACTGGTCCAAAATATCTGCATCTTTCATATCTTTCAATGGCATTAAAGCCGCGCTGAAAATACCAGCTATATCTGGTTCACCATTCACTTCCATTGCGTCTACAACTTCTTGGAATTGTGGTTGTAAGTTTATGAACCACCTATCCGGATTAGCTTTATGACCCCATCTCATTGTAGTTCCATAGTCTGCAGAAACAAAAGTAGGTTTGTTTCCATCTTGGTTAGGTTCTGAATGAACTTTAAACAATGTTTCATTTCTATATGTTTTGTTGAAATTTAACCTTTTATTTTCACCGAGTTCATCCAAAGATTGAACGTTATATGCTCGTAAGTAAAAAGGGTTATTGTATTTGCGTACATTTTCTTTCAGTACTTCCATTCTTTGCTGAATATTTTCATCTGATGTTGGAGTCTTTTGTATGTCGGCGAACATTTTTCGATATTCTTCTACTATGTCAGCCGAATTTTTCTTAGACTCTTGGAAAGATTCCATATTCTCCGCATACTCTTGTTGAGGGTCAAGATTTTTCGGCTGTTCCAAATCTTCATCTAGTTCTGTGAAGTTAGTTTCCAAAGGAGGGACTTGTTCGTTTCCTTCAGGCTCTTCTAGCTGTTGTTGCTGAACTATTTCTTCCATGTCTGGTTGTATCTGAACTTCTTCCTGTGGAGTTTCTTGTACCTCATCTGCTGGCATTTCATATATTCCGAGACCGTTTTTAACAAGTTCCCTATTTAAGTCATCCGGACTCATAAACCTTTCTTTTTTCGTTCCGTCTCTATTTTTTACGCGTTTCATGAAGAGAGCTGAATTATCATTTAGCTCTGACACCAAATATCTCGGAGTAAATTCATCCATGTCATTTGGATGATATGCTATTAAATCATATCCCTTAGCGAGCTTGTATTTTCCAGGTTTGAAATTATATCCCATTTGGTGCTGAGCCATAAAGCTAAATAGGTTCGGGTCAGTATTTCCTTCCTTGAACTTTCTAATAGCTTCTTTATATCTGTCACTAAAGTCAAGAGTATCTGGGTAACCATAATCTTCCTTAAGCATTTTTAAGAATTCTTGGTTTCCTTGTTCTCTACTTCTTTTATGTCCTTGCTCTGTTTTGCTGGTTGTTGTGCTGGTTGTGGAGGTGGTTGTGTGCTGGTTGTGGAGGTGTTGTTGTGCTGGATTTTGAACTGTTGGTTGTTGTGTTGGTTTTGGTGCATGCTTGTGTCTGTGTCCATGTGACGATGTAAATGTTTTAGGTAGTCCTGGTGCAGGTGCTTCTCTTGGAGGGTTTGGTGGTATATAAGTTCCACCAGCTGGCACATATGTTCCATCTGCAGCATAATGTCCTACCTGACTTTTCGTTTTTAAGAAAGCATTTACTAGGTCTGTTTTGGTCTGTTGTAACTCTTTTTCTTGACTTTCCACAACAGCTGCTCTAACGGCGTCATAGCACTTTGAACTGCCTGTCTCGTTGCTGCATCTGTTATTTTCGTCATATTTTGTGCTACTTCTTTTAACTCTTTGTCGAAACCTTCAGACTTCAGTTTCTTTCCAGATGAGAAGTCGTTCACTAGTTTCACCTTTACTATGAAGAGCTTCGAAGGCGTTCTTAAAGTCAGCATTCATTAAAGCTTCATTTGAACTGTCTTCATCCGCTTGTATTTTTGTCCTTATTGACCCTATAAGTTGGGCTGCTTTGGCGTTGGCTTGGGCATCTAACCAGTCATTATTAGCTTTTATATATTCTGCGCTTTTCATTGCCTTTTGCATGGCTGCGTCGTTATTATTTTACTTTCTTGTGCTAAGTTTTTCATACTGTACGGTTTTGGTTTTGCAACTGTAAAAGTTTTTCTGCCTTTACATTTGCTTCAACTTCTTTTTTATACTCATCGCTATCCATATATGTCTTCAGGGCTTTTTGTTTTATCTCTTCATCTTTCAGTACTTTATATTGAGTAGTATGGTTTTTCAAATTTATAACATCTTGTTCCATTTTTGCTACTTCTGCTGCTTTTTCTGACACTTTTTTCGCATATTCCTCTGTACTTAGTTCTTTCAGTTGTTCTTCTTTCTTCTTTTTCTCTACGTTTAACTCATTGAGTTTCTTTGTGTGTCTGTCATATTCTAGTTTCTTTTCGTTTTCACTTATTTGTTTTCTGTATGTCTATGTTTGACTTTTGACATCTGTTATTTGATTTTTGAGTGAACTCAAATTCATTTGACTTTGAGGGTTATAAGCTGTTCCGTCTGCAGCTCCACCATAGCCTGCCATTTTCGCTAAAAGTGCCGCTCTTAAACCTCCACTCTGTGCACCAATAACTCTGTTTAAAAGCATAGGGTTGCTTGACATTTGTTGCAACATAGTGGGGTCATTCATCATTTGTTGTTGCAACTGTTGTTGTGGTGTCAGTTTTACTATTGGATGTTTCAATGCTTCTTCCTCTTACGTATATTCTTACGTAGCTTACGTGGCATTTTAAGTGAAGTTAAAAAGCGTTTTTGACAGATGTTTATATGACACTTTTTGTTCAGCACAAAAAACTACTCGGTCAAAGTGTTGTCAGTTTTGTAAAATAACCGTCCTATCTTGTTTTAAAAGGGAGAAAAGGCTTCTCAAAGTTTACTTCCTTGGAACGCCTGTAACTTTTCCTGTAGCGACGATAGACCCTTACTTGTCCGGACAAAGTTATACTATTTTGAGTGCTCTACAAAAAGTCAACGGCGACGACTCTCAAAAACCGTTGTGTAAAAAGTTTTACCGTTGGACAAAAAAGTATATATAGAAAACAAAAAAACGTTTATAGTTCATTCAATATTTGAGATGGAACGGTTTGCCAACGGTAACTATTAAATAAAATAAAAAAATAGAGGGGGTCTCCGTTGGTAAAAACGGTTTATTTTAAACTTTTCTATGAGTAGTCCGAAAAAAAAGTTCATTTTTCATAATGGAAGGAAGAAAAAGTGTCGCAAACAATTCAAACATTAACAATTCTCAACCGCTAACCAAAGCCAAAGCCCACAACCTCCAAGAACCGGCACAGCGGTTAGAATAACCGCCAAAAGGTCTAACAGCGAATTAAGAGAAATTCTTCAACAAATTTGCTCTAAATATCTCAAAGACGCCGAAGAAAACACACACCAGACGCTACATACAATACTCAGTTCTGTGAAGTTCTGAACAAAGCAATTACTAGTTCAATTGAACTTACTAAGACAATTCCAAGTCCAATTGAGCTTAGCGATGTCTTAGTTCAGTATTTTCCAACATTTACTAAGCTTATAATGTTGAGAACTTTATACCAAGTTCGTCAAAATCTTCCTCGTTCCATCCAACGGTCATCGACAAGAGAATTGCCGAATTTCAAGTCTTTAGTTACGGATATGACAAAGATGAATACGAGGACGAGTTCGGAGACAAACTGTACAAAATGGTTTGAATGTTATACGACAACACAATTTGAATTCGACTTTCTCGAATTCAACGCAGCAACCATTCATATCATTGCTCTTTACCTTTCCGAAGAACAACAAGACCTCGCAGATGGAGATGTTGTTACTGTCGTCATGAAAACTCCTGAACAATTCGGAAAAAAGAAGTCTCTAATTGCCAAATTCGTTCCAGGACATCAGCTTTCCAACGCACAGAAGTCTTCTGTATTCCTGGAACTAAGTTCTTTGTCAGGAGCGAACTCAAAGAAAGATATAATGTGTCATTCAATTACACTATATAATGTTTTCGACCCAGAAGAAGACTTCTTCCAGAAGCAATGGAGGAAGAAGAGGAGGAGGAAATACAAGACTCAATCCAAGAAGAGTCCTCCGAATTCACACCAGAAGACTAACAATTTTCCGAATAAAAACTTCATTTATACTAAACATCTTCAGGGCTAGAAGGGGCGCAGCCCCTGGAAGCCCCACTACCCTTTTTTTTTTTATTATAAAAAAGAAAAAATAAAGCACGTTAAAATTTTTCTTTCTTGATTTTTTACAAAATCTACTTAGAATTATGCAAAATATGACTAAATAATTATAAATTTCAAGTTAAATTTTAATTTTGATAAATAATTTAAATTTCAAAATATCAAGTTCAGTTCGACTATGTATGTAGTAATTCCTCAATAAAGTGCCAAAACCCTATTAAAATATATGAACATTTTCAACATTTTAATGTTTTTATTTAAAAATTTGTTGGAATATGAGCTTCAAACAATTATTATGTAAATAAAAATAATTAAATATATGTATTTATTCGTATTACAACCGTAGTAAGTCGATTCTTCCTTTCTTCTACTGAGGTTTGAATTTGATTTCGAATTGTAAAGAGATTCAAAGGGAAAATACTAGCGGATAAAAACTACCTCCATGAAAGGGTCATAATGGAGTCAAGTTGTATTTTTTGATATTTTTTGCTTTTTCGGCCAAATAGTAGCCAAGATAATGCCTAAAAATAAGGTTCTAAATTCTGAAGTTTACATGATCCTCTCGTGTGCACCCTTAATAATTATTTTAAAAGGATACAGATGCGTTTTACCACATAACTTACCACTTAAATTCATTAGAAGAAAATATCCTATGTTATACATGTGGAAAACAATGGTCAAAAAGATTTCTGCTAAAATTTATGAATTTTGATTAAATCTATTGATGAGAAACGACATGTTAACAATAGAAAAGTCTAGAGCAATAAGAATGTCATTCGGATTCTTATATATATACAAGATTTTTTATTCTAATCACTATAAATCAATTGATTCTTTGAAATCAGATAAAATGTCATTAATAGAAATGTTACTCATTTCCCAAAAGGTACTTTTTATAAGCAAAAAAAAATCTGCTTCGAGATAGCTCCTATGATAAAAAGATACTATTATCCAAATCGAATAAAGCTTTCGATTCAAGATTTATATCTAGATATACAGGAGGAAGACATATCTGATTACCAAACCTACATATCTGAAATTTTAAAACATATATTTGTTAAAACACCTGTTCCTGAAGAATCACCTAACTATGGCAACATTCATAAAAGACCATTTTTATTCATTAAGAGCACTGATGAGCATGTCCATATCAATGAAATCATACCCACATATCCAGCTCTAAAAATAGTTTATAAAAGTCTATAAATGTTTACCTTCACCATTTTTCAAGTAGAACAGCAAATTTTTGCATGTAAAAAGATAATTTTGTTAAGCATATTTCATATTAATTATACAAAGATTCATCCATGCATCAATGTAGAGAAATCCCGGAATGAACAAAATCCGAGAGTAAGAGTAAACCCATTTTCGTACATAAAGTCCTCCTATGGTTTTTATGTATCAATATTGAGTGCACCACCGAATAGGATTGTTTGATTAGATTACTTAGATCTAATATATCTGCAGTTGTGAGTGGAGTAATTCCATATTTCTTTTTTGGTTCTTTATTAGCTCCAACAAAGATCAGATGTTTAAAGTCTTCAACAAGATCATCATACGATGCCAAATAAATTGGTGTGTCTCTATTATCTTCCTTTTGTTCTTTATTCGCTCCAACGGAGATAAGATATCTAACAGTATCAAAAAAATTATTTCTTGTTGCAAAAATGAGTGGAGTATTTTCATCATTACTCATTCCTTCTTTATCTGCATTAACGAAAAATATTAGATATTTAACAATTTCTAGGTAGCCATTGAATGATGCCCAAATGAGCGGTGTAGATTCAGGTATATTTTAATCTACATTGCAGTTACATTCGATGAGAAAATCGATCTAAATATCGATATAAAATATGAAGAATCATGATCATTCTCCGCAAGCTTATGATATAATTCCTTTAATCTTTTTGGCTGATAGTTCATCAAGGAGATTATATAGAAGTTCCTCCACTCTCAATTTTCAGTTTTTTTTTTGGCCAAGATATATGTAAACTGTTCAAAAAAGGCACTTCTGATTATATACTTTATATCAATCTACAATAAATAAGATAACAATTAAATCTGATTTAAATTATATAATACAATAAAACTTTATTCAAAGAAATACAAATTAACGAGGCATTTCTTGCAACTTTGTAGTAGAATTATTTTCATCTGGAATTGCTTCATAATATACATCTTGTTGAATAATATTTTCATTATCTATATCAGCGCCAAATGTTTCTTCTTTCTTTGGCATACTAGTCATTGGTCTAAACGAATCAAGATTTGGACCGTTTAATATCTTTTTCTTCTTTGTTTTTGGTTTTAATGAAATATAAATTAAACCGGCAATTGCAGCAATTGGGAATAAAATGAACCAGAACGGGACATTTGTTTCTACAATAACTGGTGATGAAAAGTGGTTTCCATCAAATGAAATTGTGACATGAGCAGAAGTTGTAAAGATTGGAACACTAAGCCTGCATTGGACAGAATGAGGACCAGATATATATGCTTCTACAACAGCTTCGTTGATTCTACAGTAAGGTTTTGTAACTTCAATCGGTACTGGTGAATAAGTAACGTTTAATGGCTTCTTTCTGATGAATCCTAGCATGTAAGACTGCGTTTCAACAATCAGAGGGGTTATTGGCCCGTTTTGTAAGAATAAATTTTGATTTTTCTTTTTTCTTGAAAATTTGCGGTTGAAAACCGGTTCATATGGATTCTCATCCTTAGGAATTTGAGCGTATTCTTCTTTTTTCTGGAATTCTTGATCTTCAATTAAATGGTCGTTTTGATTTTGGAAACTTTGGTCTTGGGACTGATCGTATTGAAGATTTTGGTATTGGCCAGCATCTTGCGGAATTTCTTGGCTTTGATCAGAAGATTTATTCTTTTTATTTTTTCTTCTTTTGATTCTCTTTACGCGCTTGAACCTGTGGCCTGATTGTTTCTCGGGTTCTTCTGGTTGGTTTTGGAGTTCTTGATACTGGAAATTATTATAATCTTGGAATTCATCAAATTCTTGGATTTGATCTTGAACTTCATCGCCATCCTTCAATACACCTTGACTCGTACCATCTTCTTCGATCAAATCTTCGTCATCTTGATACTCATCTGTTGTATCTGATTTCGAACTACTCATGTACTTATCTTGCCTTCTTTTGTCGTAAGGTGTAATTGTTTTATCTTTCTCGTTCTTCCTTTCGAATTCTTCGTAATCTTCTGGCTTGTAATTTTGATTTGGAAGATTTGGATCGCCGTAAGGGTTAATTGCAAGGTCTTCTTTCGAAATGCCAGCCTCTTTCTTTTTATCTGAAAACAATGTACCTAAATCAAGGCCTTTTCGCTTTGGATCTTCATATTTATGTTTATTTTTCTTGGCTAGAGATTGCGACTTATCGAATTGCTCAGATTTTCCCTCGTTAACAGTTACTGAAAAGCCATCTTCGTCAATTTTCCATTCATCATCAAAATATTCAATATTATCTTTTTTATCGTTCTCATTTGGTAATTCATGAGACATTTGATTCTGTTTCTCATTTTTATAATTCATTTCATTGCTAGATTTTTGTTCATTTTTTTCTTGAATATATTTGTTCGAAAAGTCATTCAGTTTTTTATCTGTTGCAGAATATAACTGCTTGGGTTGTTGTAATTCAGGTTTTTTATTTGACTTTGTTGTAATTTTTTCGTTATTCTCCTTCATTTGGTCGTTATTTCTCTCCTTGGACTTCTGATTTGATTCCTCGACTACTGGTCTTCTTTCCTTTGATAATAATGCATCTTCGGAAAAAGCTAAACCTAAAAGTAATAGCAAAAACATGAGGACTCAGTGGTTCAGAGGTGAGTGAGTGACAAATCTGTCAGAATCGCATTTCAGATATTTTAATCAGATTTTAAGAGAAATTAGGTGAACAATATATTAGTATTTGAAACAGTCATTTGTTAAGATAAGATTTGATCCATTTCCTGAATTAAATATCCTGTCCTAGATTTTTGTAGCAAATACATAAAACAATGACAAACACAAAGACTACATCCATACAGACAGCATTTTCCAATAGTTATAATCTTTAAAATAAGTAATAATTTGAGAATTTATTAGTTCACTAATAATTGTTTAATCTTTGAACTTAACAAGTAAACAGAATGATATCGAAGCTCAAAATACTGAATACCATTACTTGGAAAAAAAAGTTAATAATTTTCAATGAGAAAGGAACGTTTTTACAAACCAGCAGCCTTTAAGTTCTGCTCAACAAAGTTCCAGTTGACGTGGTTCCAGTAGTTCTTGAAGTACTCAGCCTTTCTGTTCTCGTAGTCGATGTACCAAGCATGTTCCCATGTATCGACTGTGAGAATTGGTGTAAGGCCATCCTTGACTGGGTTAGCAGCGTTGGAGTACTGGCCGATCTCAAGCTTGCCGTCCTTTGTCTTGTAAAGGTAAGCCCAGCCAGAGCCGAAGACTGTTGAAGCCTTAGCTGTGAATGTTTCCTGGAACTTCTCGACAGAGCCGAAGTTCTTCTTGAGGAGCTCAGCAACATGAGCTGGAACAGCAACCTTCTCAGCGGAGAGGGACTTCCAGAAGAAGGAGTGGTTGAAGTGCTGGGCAACGTTGTTGAAGAGTGGGCCCTGAGCCTTTTGGATGATTTCTTCAATTGGCTTGCCTTCGAAGCCAGAGCCAACGATAAGCTTGTTAGCTGTATCAATGTAGGACTGATGGTGCTTTGTAACATGGACCTCGACAGCGTGCTGTGTGAGGAAGCCTGGAAGACCAGTCTTCAAGTAGGCAGGATGCTCCATTGTGAACATTTTCTAAAAAATGAAGTGAATTCTTATCCATTCAATTAATAACCTCCTTTTCGCTCACAAAAAATAATATGTATTGAATTTTTTTCGCACAAATAAATCTTGACAGTTATTAAACACCGATAAGAATTCTCGATGATTAAGTGGTGACCAAAATGTCAGTTTTTCAATTTTCAGAGGAAATTTTTCCTTCTTACATCTCTTTTATTTTTCGTAAATTTTCATTCCCAAGAAAAATGTTAGGATGAATAGATCCATTTACACACGCGTGGCTAGATATTATAACGATTGCATATAATGCGCCTCAAAAAATTGTCAATTTTTTCTATTGGTGTTAATTCAGAAAGTGGGTGATGATATTGGATATCAAAACATATAACAAAACATATAACAAAACATATTAATGAACAAATTTTGAAAATAATACAAATTGTTCAAATAGTTTATTCACTTTTTTAGCTGTTTATTCAGGGGAGTAGCCATCATAGGAAAAATATGAAAAAACAACAAGAATTTAGTATAAAGTAAGCACATTTAAAGATATAAGTTTATTCTCTATTTTTCGTAAAAGAGATAACTCCTAATTTTGAACCGAGTTTTGGGTAGAAGTCGTGACAGCGCCAAAGAAAACACGAGCGAATGAGTTGTATGTTCCAATCATAAGCTGAATTAATCCGATGAAGAAAATGAAAATAAGGATCAAAAAGATTAGATCCCAAGCGAGTCTTTCCTTCTTTGAAAAGAGGTATACACCTGTAGCCATACGGTAGTTCTTGAAGAGGGTAATTGGATCGCAGCCCATTAAAATTTTGTAAAATATGCAACTTTTTAACGATAACCTTGAAAATGATCCAAATTTTATCGAATTTTCTAATTTAAATGCATTACCATTCTTATGTGAATATCAAAATCTCATAATTTGAGCTAAATCTCAACATTTTTGAGATTTTTTTTTCAAAATATAAAAGTAAGTTGAGATAGAATAAGGAACCAAAGACGAACAACTTCTAAAACGACATAACATGCATTCATTAAATGATTATTAATTATGAATGAAATAACATGGATAAAGAGCCAAATAACACTCATACTTCCAAATAAATAGCTACAGTTTCATATTTCATGTTCCTTTAAGGAAATTATTTATCTCATCATGAAAATCATTCCGTTTTTCCGATTTTTCAATTGATAGAGAGTCGATGAAATGCATCGAAAAACCAGTAACGAACACTGAGAATTTCTCAATGGAAATAAGTCCGTAAAACAGATCCATCATCTCCGATAATTTCTCATAATTGAATTCTAATTTATCAAAAAAGTGACATTGCTGTTGATATGCTTACAGAAACTCAGCCAATTAAAGTTGTATTGGTTGGTGATACACAAGTTGGTAAAACATCTATAGTTAATGCATACGCACGCAAAACAGAAAAAACTGTTCCAACAATTGGAGCAAATTCTTTTTCATTTGCAGTCAAATTAAATGACTCCGTTGTTAATTTGAGCGTATGGGATACAGCAGGACAGGAAGAATTTAAATGTCTTGTTCCAATGTACGCTCGAGGCGCTCAAGTTGCAGTTGTAGTTTTTGATCTTTCAAATAAAGATTCATTTAACAGTGTAAATGGTTGGATAGAGAGTGTTGTAGAAGACTATGCCATCCCTAATATTATTGTTGTCGGAAACAAAGTAGATTTAGAATCATTTTGCGATTATCAAAATTTAGTCATCGAATACAAGGATAAGGATATAGAATTTCTCCAAACATCTGCTGTAACAGGAGCTGGAATTGATACTCTTTTTTATTCGATTGCCACAAAGACTTTAGCAGCAACAACTGCACAATCAGAAACTACTACATTTATACCAAGACCTCAACTCGAGGAAACCAATAACAAACCTTGCTGTTAATTATAATATCTTTTTGATGTTTTAATTTGTATTTTATATTTAACTAAATATTGTAAGATATGGATGTTCTGATATTTATAATTTTTTCTAGTTCCCAGCTAATAACTGAGCATAATCGCTGAAATTTTATTCGATTCAAACCATTAAATAACTGGCAATATGATTAATATATTATTCATTTCCAGTAATTTCTAAGGCATTGGTTAAAACTGTAGAATTACGGTAATATCAAATTTTTTATCTTCAATATTAAACTATTTTTGAAAAATAACATGATTATATGCGCTTCCATTAGAAAATATAACTAATAAGATAGTTAAATTAGTATCAAATCAATAATATAGTAACGAGTGTCACTTTTCAAGAAAATACGTTTTCAAACATGACTGAGCAATATGTCTATTTCTTCGACGAAATCGACAAAGTCGAAGCAAAAGTCGGTGGAATGGACAAGGTGAAGAACCTTCTCGGAGGTAAAGGAGGAAATCTTGCTGAAATTGCTCGTCAGGGAATTCCAGTTCCACATGGATTTACAATTTCAACAGAAGCATGCACAATTTTCTACAAACAAGATCCACCAGCTTTACCCGATTCAATTTGGGAAGAAATTAATCAAAAAATTAAAGAACTCGAAACAAAAACAGAAAAACAGTTCGGATCAGAAGAAAAACCACTTCTCGTTTCATGCAGATCAGGTGCACGCGTTTCCATGCCAGGTATGATGGATACAGTGCTTAATATCGGTCTCAACGATGTTACTTGCCAAGCAATGATAAATTTAACTCAAAATCCACGTTTCGTTTGGGATTCATACAGACGTCTTCTCCAAGGATATGGCGCAATTGTTATGGGCATTCCTGACGAGAAATTCGAAGCAGCACTTAAAGCAATGCAAACAGAAAAAGAATACAAGTCAGATAACGATGTACCAGCCGAAGATTGGGAAGCTCTTGTTGGAACATACAAACAGATCATTGAAACTGAGAAAGGAGCACCTTTCCCACAAGATCCGATTGAACAGTTGAAAGGAGCCATTATGGCTGTCTTCCAATCATGGAACTCCGAGAGAGCCATCGAATACCGTAAGAGATTCGGTTTCTCAGACGATTGGGGCACTGCTGTTAACGTTATGGCGATGGTTTTCGGAAATATGGGCGAAACATCAGCGTCAGGCGTTACATTTACTCGTAATCCATCTACAGGCGAAAATAAGCTTTGGGGTGACTTCCTTGTCAATTCTCAAGGCGAAGATGTTGTTGCAGGTGTTAGAACACCACAGCACATCGATCAGCTCGAACAAGTATTGCCAGAAGTATACAACCAATTACTCGAAATTGGCCACAAGCTCGAAGGTTTCTTCAAAGAAGTTCAAGATATCGAATTTACAATTGAAAACGGGGTATTATGGATTCTCCAAACAAGAAATGGCAAGAAAACATCCAAGGCTATTATCAAATGCAACGTAGATCTCGCGAAAGAAGGAGTAATTACAAAAGAAGAAGCTCTCAAGAGAGTTACTTCAAATGATATCGAAACAATACTACATCCTCACTTCGAAAAGAGTGATTTAGATTCTGCAGCTTCTAAACTCTTTACTACAGGCGTAAATGCATCTCCTGGAGCTGGAGTCGGCCAAATTTACTTCGACGCCGATAAATGTAAAGAGATGGCTGGACAAGGCCAAAACGTCATTCTTGTCCGCCAATTTACAAAACCAGATGATTTCGGTGGAATGGTCGTTTCAAAGGGTTTGTTTACAGCAGAAGGCGGTGCGGCTTCTCATGCAGCTGTCGTTGCCCGACAAGTTGGTATACCAGCCGTTGTTGGTTGCTCATCAATTAACATAGATGCAGATGCAAAAACAGTTACATGTGGAGAAAACGTCCTTAAAGAAGGCGATTTCGTAAGTATCGATGGCTCAACAGGCCAAGTCTTTATGGACCAAATCCCTATGGTCGCTCCAAATATTTCAGAACAAGAAGATCTCCTTGAATTACTTAATTGGGCAGATGAAATATGCGAAAAGAATGATGGCAGAGAATCAATAAACCAAAGACCAACTCGTGGCCTTAAAGTCCTTGCAAATGCAGATACTCCTCAAGATGCAGAAAAAGCCAAGCAACTTGGTGCAAAAGGAATTGGTCTTTGCAGGACAGAGCACATGTTTTTGGGCGATAGAACGCAATACGTCCAGAAAATGGTTATGGCCGAAAATGAAGATGAAAGAAAAGAAGCCATGGATGAATTATACAACTTCCTTGAAGAAGATTTCCTGTCAATGTTCGATACAATGAGCGGATTACCTGTTATTGTCAGGTTATTGGATCCTCCATTGCACGAATTCCTTCCAGACATGTTAGAAACTGCTGGCGAAATAGCTGCAGCCAAAGAGAGGAACAAATTGGAAGGAAAGGACAAAGAAAAAGAGGAAAACGAAGACGATGAAGATGATGAAGATAAACAGAAAGAGAAATTATACCAAAACATCCTTAAATACCATGAAACAAACCCAATGACAGGCTTCAGAGGTGTTAGATTATGCTTGTTAATTCCAGGATTACTTGAAATGCAAGTTCGTGCAATTGCAAGCGCCGCCTGCAAGCTTAAAGCCGACGAGAAAGATCCAATTGTTGAAATCATGGTTCCTTTAGTTTGTACAGAGGAAGAACTTAAAGTTGTCAAAGAAATCATGGATAAAGAGATCGAAAGTGTCATGAAAGAGAACGAAATAAAGAATCTGCATATCAAATACGGTACAATGATTGAAGTACCACGTGCTGCATTGATTGCAGATAAGATTTCCCAATACGCGGAATTCTTCTCTTTCGGAACAAATGATTTGACACAATTAGGTTTCGGATACAGCCGTGATGATGCTGGTTTCATACAGACATATAGAAGCAAAGGAATGATACAGACAAATCCTTTCCAAACAATAGATAAAGGTATTGGAAAGTTGATGAAAATCGCAACAGAAAGAGGAAGAAAGACAAGACCAGATTTGACTGTTGGAATTTGTGGTGAACACGGCGGTGACCCAGAAACTATTAAGTTCTGTCACTCAATAGGTATGGATTATGTGTCTTGCAGTCCACTTAGAATTCCTGCCGCTAGATTTACTGCTGCACACGCTGTTCTTGATGCTCAAAAATAAAAAAATTTATTTAATTTTTTTTTGTAAAATTTATTTCATATTTTTATCATTTAACACTTTATTAGATAGCATTTAGTAGCTTATTTCACATGGCACAAATATTAACGAAAAAGATAAAAAATGACAAACTGCTCTTCACTTTGCAGCAGCTAATAATAGTAGCTAAGAAACAATCGAACATATTATTTGGGCGGAAAATATACCTTTTATAGAATTTTTGACCAAGATTAAAAGCTGTACTATCAGTCTTCATCAAGAATTCCAAAATAGCGCAAAAACTGAAAACCGTTTCACTTATTCAATTTTTTGTAAAAATGGATGCCATTGATAGAATTTGCAATTATAACAAGTTATTTAAGATGAATAAATGATATGTTGATATTTTTAATAGATTATATAATCTAAAAACACTCAATAAAAGCGAAATCAGCAAAATTTGCCATGATATCAAAAAAATTTTGCTGCAAACAAACATATTAACTATAAACCAGATTCTAACAATTATACAAGGCATATCTAAGTTACGCAATCGCTATTTTAAATCATATTGGGATATTTTCAGAACTTTAATTAAGACGTGTGAACTAAATGAAGATATTTCTCTTACAGATTTATTTGATTGCTTAATTTATAAACACAAAGAAATCAAAAAAGGTGAAATTCCAAATTATTCATTGGAAGTTCATGAAAAAAAACACAATTTTCAGAGCGATTATGGATGATGACATAAAATCTTTTATCATGTTCACAGAAAGAGAAGGTTTTGATAAAGACATAATGCTTAAAAGTGATTTCTATCCATGTCAAGAAGATAAAAGTCTTTCATTACTTGAATTATGCTGTTATCATGGAGCTGTAAATTGCTTTAAATTTTTAAGGGCAGAATTTAACTCAAAAATCACTGAAACATGCCTTGAATTATCATTTTTGGGTGAAAATCCAGATATAATGAGTGAATGTTTGAAATATATAGAACCAACAGCAAGCTGTATGATAATGGCAATTGTTAGTCACAACATTGATTTTGTAACATTTTTGTTAAACGAATACAATATATCTATTGATGATAAATTGTTTTTGCACTATTGTTGTATGCACCAGAATCTTCAAGCATTTTTAGTTTATTTACATCATACTAAATCAATCAACATCTGCTTTGTTTATTCACCATCGTTCAACATTCCTGCACTATGTGCACATTTTCTTTCATATGGCATTGATGTCAATAAAGGAGAAGATCAAAAAGGAAGAACCGCTCTTCATATTGCAGCAAAATATAATTGCAAAGAAACAACAAAATTTCTTATTTCTAATGGAGCAGATGTCGATGCACAAGATTGCAATAAGCATATAACACCTCTTCATTTGGCACCAAAATATGACCATCATCAAATAGCAGACATTTTGATAAATAATGGAGCAGACATCAACATTTACGATTATTTTCGGAGAACCGCTCTTCATTATACAGCAATAAATGATAATAATAGTCTCAAGACAGCAAAAATATTAATATCGCATGGAATAAATCTTAATTTCAGAGATGGAAATGGATATACTGCTGTTATTTATGCCGTAATAAATAATCACTTTGAATTAGCGGATCTCCTTTTATCTAGTGGTGCCAGTACCGATAGATTTCCTCACTGGGATACTATTCTCCACTTTGCTGCATCAACAAAAAGCACTATATTTACCAAACTTCTTATTGAAAAAGATTCATATGTTGATAAACGAAATAGAGATGGAGATACTCCTCTTCATATTACAGCAATGAATGATTCTAGGAAAAATGCAGAAATTCTTATTTCTTCTGGTGCAAAAGTCAACATTAAAAATAAAAAGGGACAGACTCCCCTTCATTTAGCAATAAAGTATTCAAGTAGGGAATTTATCAAACTTCTTCTTACACATGGCGCAGATATCAACAAAAAAGACAAGAATGGTGAAACAGCCCTAGATTATGCATTAAAGGATCACAATCATGACATTATTGAACTTCTTAACTCACATACCACAATATTAAAAAAATTCATCATCCATAACTATGCATAAATAACTATTATTTCAACACAATGTAAATATAGATGTATTTATGGCTAATCATTCACAACTTTGAACAATATCAAAGAAATTTGATCTTTAAATTTGAATCAGTAAAATTTAAAAAGATATCCTTAAGAAGCCAAATTATACACATGAAAATAGAAATGATTGGGTGAAGTGCATTGAGAATTGGATGAATTTTTGAAATATTTTTTCAAATAAAAAGGTGATTAATGGATCTTTATAGATAAGAATCTGCCTAACATCAAAATTAAACCAATTTAGCTATATGAGGCAGCTGCGCGCCGATATAAGCAGAAAGGACCTTAAAAAACGTCACTTTTTAGACAATCAAAAGCGAATGCAAACTGAAACTCCAGTTAAAATTTACGTGAACAATCTCCCTCTTGATATGGATGAAAAAGCTATTACGAAGTATTTCTCGCAATATGGAACCATTATTAACACTTTTTTGATGGTGGATGAAGCACAAACGTTCAAAGGCATGGCTTTCATCACATTTCAGAAGAGATCCGATGCAAAATATTGTATTAAAGATCTAAACAATGCCAATTTCGAAGGAAAACATCTTGTTGTTAGAGAAGCTAAAAATCAAACAAATACAGTTAAAGATCCAAACAGGAAAAAGGAGAAATCGGCACCATTTCAGATTTGCCCTAATATTATGCAAACTCCTGAAATTGTTCAATATACTGCGATGCTCAATCAACTTAAGGAAACAATTCTTAAAGCTACAGAAAATGCAACAAATCAATAATTAAGGGAACTGACTGATTGCAGATTTTTAATTTTAATTATTTCTTAAAATTTGTAATATTTAAGGCAAATTGAACCTACGAATGATACTTAACTCCCATTTACCATCCTTTTCGGACATTTACATGTGTATTAGTTACTTTAACCCAGAAAAAAAATCCAATTTTTTTCCGTTTCTTCCCTTAATTCCCAAGAATTTCTCCATAAATCATATTTTTTGTTTGTTACAATAAATCTATTTTTTTATCTTTCTATCCAAATATAAACTCATAATTTCGAGTGTGAGAAAAGTTGGCGCCATTTTGTAAACTATTCAATTTCAGAAAGAACCGAAAGAAAAAGATTTTTTCCCCCTTTGGAGAAGAATTCACCATATATTTAATGACAAAAATATGAACATTGGCTCAGTCTATCTTATCTTCTGCAAGATTAATAGTTAAATATTTAGTTTGCATCACTGCTCAATTAATATGAGTTCCTTCTTAAGATTTTATTACTATTGTTGCATGCTAAGATCAGTCATAATGTAAACCTCTCAATTTTATTGTCGTGGGAAGTATCTCAATTCCTTCAAAAAAATTGAAAAACTATTTAATTTTTAAAAATATAATACTTTTAATTAGTTAATTAATTGGAGATATTTTTTAAAAAATCACTTTTGATAATACTTTTGAGAACTTTAATTAAAAAATATATTCAAAAATATCCAGGATATCAAGAGGGAATGGTTCCTTATGAGGTATATAGTTATGATGTATACCTCATAAGGAACAATTCCCTCCTTAAAACGAGAAAACTTGTTCGAAATTGTTTATCATTTCGAACAAGTTTTCTCGTTTTTAATAAGAAACTAAAGGCTATGAGGCACTGATTATATATTAGTGCCTCACAGCCTTTAGTTTCTAATAGATAGCTGGGAAACTTTCTCCAAATGATAAGTTATTCAGAGAAAGTTTCCCAGCTATCAAGAGGGAATTGTTCCTTATGAGGTATATAGTTATGATGTATACCTCATAAGGAACAATTCCCTCCTTAAAATCGTAGACATTTTTATACTTATTAATCAACCATTCAAAATCATATTCCTCTGAAAAGTTATTTTATTAAAAATTTAGAATTTTAATAAATATAGAGTTTGAATTTCATACAATACCTATATATTTTCAATAATGGAATTTGAAAACCATTCTCAAAAGTTCTCAGAAAACCTTTTTTTCATTAATTTTAAGAAATCTGAGTATTAAATTAAGTGATAAATTCGTTTGACACTACTTTAATTTTTAAATTCAAAAAATTATATGTGCTTCTTAAAATGACTCAAAAAATTTTTATTATAAAATAATATATAATATTAAAAATCCCACAACATTTTTTTACTTTACATAATCGTACTTCCTCGACGATTAATTTCCACTCAATTTCTATCGTTGACCGAACTTAGCATGCAACACTATTACCCATTTTGAGATCTTGAATGCATTTAAAAAGTTTTGAAACATGATTTCTTATAATATACATTCTTGTCTATGAGTTTTCATCTTCGATACAAGTTGTAAAAGCAGATTTATGAAAACCTATTGTTAGAAATATTTAAATAAATAATTTACCATTAATTTTTGACTTTTGCAACTTTTTCATGACCATCTACCTATTGTTCGAACCTCTATAGTAATAGAATGTAGAACTAATTAAATATAATCAATAAAAAAAATTTAAGTGATATTATAAGGGTTATATGTGATGTTATCAATATGACATGATATTGGGGAACCGATAAAATTGTGATGTGAGACAAAATATGATATTATTAGGAACTTATTAGATATCGAAATCGACACTAGTCATACATTTTGGTGAAAATATCATAGACCATCTAGAATAGATGTTTTCAATATGGTTGCGCAAATCTCAGCCCTCAATAACAGTTATATGGGTCACAGCAAGTTCAACATTAAAAATTTTTGACGTGCAAAATTTATATTTGTCGGGAATTCAGGGTAAGCATGAAAAACTATGATTTTGCTTTTAGTTGATATCGATATTTTGTATTTAATGCAAAATTAATAAATAAAATTTAGAGAAATGGCAATCTGATTCTTGAATGTCAAAATTTCGATCAACTTGACTGCAATTTTTCAATACTTCGGTTTAAATATTTATTCTACATTCCGCACATGTTGAGACTTAAATTTTATATAAAAAGTGTTCGTATTGAATGTATAAATCCAAATTTATTCCAATTGAGTTGCAAAAAAATTGAGAGACTTTCAAATACTATTCAAAAATTGAATGCTAAAATGAGAATTATCGTTATCGTCTTCAACTTGAATCGATTTTTTGGAGCTTCTTGGTTAACGAAAATCACAAATTATATTAAAAATAGTATACAAATATGATATCAAATCAGAATCTATAAATAGATATGGGCCTTTCCATATAAATTTTGAACATTAACGATAGCCTTCGCTTGGCCGGACCGTAGACCCTTAAGTTAAAATATAAAAAGTGACATTCCAAAATTTTTCATGTCAAGTGATCGAGAAAAATTACTTGATGATTTTAAGAAAATGGATATTAGTGCATTTCAACATTACGACTCAGATAGGATTCTTAAAAATGCAGATATTATAAATAAAGCATATCAATTTGCTAAATCAGATGAAAGAACAAAAGATCAATTGCAGGACCCAAATGATTTTCGAGTTCCAAAGTTTCCTTACTTAGTCAGCTTAGATCCCGAACATATGTCAAGTATATTTATTCTATTTCCTGGATTCGATCGTGAAATTAAGCGAGCTGTTCAACAAGTTGTTTTAGTTGAAATTGAAAGTATCAACACGTATGAAGAAATCTTTCAACTATTTGGCAACCCAAATGGCCAAGCTCCTACTGACATGAAAATCAAAAAACTGTATCCAAATCTGAGTTTAGGAAAATTTTTATTTACTTTCGACGTTTATATCAAAGCGGCTTTCCTCTCTCAATATGGAAAGGTTTATCGAAAATTATATTATGTCTACTCGCCTTCGTTTTTAACTGATATAAGCCCAAAAAATATTTATCTAGTAGGTGAACAGTATCAAGATAACGAATTCGTTAGCCGAATATATACAAAAATTAACTTGAGCGCAACATTCCTAAAAGTTTATTTCACAGAAGATTATTATCCTTTAAATTGTATCACAGTAATTCCATACACCATTTATTCTTTCTTCAAGTCTTGTTTTCGCATTTCAAGCAATAAATATGCGAAATTGAAAGATAACTAAAATAATTTCTTTAATCGTTTGCAAATTCTAATTTTCATGAACGTTAAAAGTTCTGAAAATTTGAATGCTTGCAAACAATTTTTTTTGCTTGAAATCTTAAGGGTGCACTTACGCCCCTATGACAGGGCCTTCAATTCAGATATTTAAGGTTAATTTTCAATAACGCTTCACACCAGTTGTCAAAAATTTGAATTTAAGTCAGATGGGCGTAAGTGCAGCCTTAACAAAATCATATTTGTGTGGTCTATCGAAAAAAGCCGTAAAGCCAGATCACATAAGTATTTTAAAGATCAAAATAAACATATATCATTATTTGTTTTTCACATTTTGGCAAAAAAGCATGAAATATTTACCGTTATTTTGACAAATGACCCTGGCGATCATATAGGCATATTCAGAAAGTATATTACGTGCCAGAAAATAAATATGTTACAATCCAAAATTTCAAATCTCAAAAACTGTTAATTGAATCTCCTTGAAATGCCGCACATGTATCATCACATCTATATATACGAGCATCATGAAATCTAACAAAAATTCCTCTGCATGCAAGGGTATTTTGGGAAGAAATCTGAATATTTCAATCATATTTAACTATTATATGATATCTATCATATAAATGTCTATCATAAATGTCTTATTTGTGTTTCTAGATGCACATCAATATGAATCTACGCCAAAACGATCTAGTCTTTCCTGTAGGTTCTGTGAACTAATTCTCAGCGGATATGATATTCACTGCATGACTAGATATATGTGAATGAAATACTAGTAAACATAATGCTTTTTGAAATATGATATAAATTATTAAATTTACTCGAATTTTGAATTTTAGATTGGGTTATATGACTATTATAATATCTGTTGAGAACTAGCTCGTTGGACCTACAGGAAAGACTAGACCGTTTTGGCGTAGATTCATATTGATGTGCATCTAGAAACACAAATAAGACATTTATGATAGACATTTATATGATAGATATCATATAATAGTTAAATATGATTGAAATATGCAAGTTTTACTTCAGAATGCATAAAAGTTAATGTTTCTTAATAAGATAACTTATAATAGTTTGGATTATATTAAGCAAAATTGTTTACATTGTCATTTCTAAGAATTTGTATGATTGTTCCATGCAAAATTCTGAATTTTAGTCAAATTTTGTGTGATCTTATTCAAACCAGAAAATAAAATACACAAATGGATATATTTCACATACGAATAACTTATAATTGATGTAAAATAGACATTGCTTTCAAGTGGGAGACAAGGATAAATCACAAAAAATGACATTTTAACTTTACAAAGTTTACATATGTAAAACGGCATATTTGACACTTATTTGCCAATTACCCAAAAAAAAGTTTGGCGCCAAATCGCAAAAGTGTCATAATCACATGGTAGACTACAGCTGGTGTAGCCGCCGACGATCCACTTGCTGGGATGCTACGCAGCCTTTGATCTGGCCAATCTTAGTGCTGCTCCATCCACATCAGCAAGTGATTTCGGCGGGAGATATCCATTGAGTCTTCCATGAGAGTTCCACAAGCCAGAAGCGCAATATCTGTGTAGTCTAACTGCTAGGATATAGTAGCTAGGCTGTGTAGGTATTGCGCTTCTAAGGATATTAGTTATCCGTTATTGCCCTCATGCATTTGTGCTACCGCCTTCTGGTCCCCAAAGGACTAAGGATTCTGTAATTACTCGAGCAGGGCAAGGTACTTCCGAGATCTCTCATTTCTTCGAAAGATCTCGGAAGAACCTTGCCTTAAACTACTCAATTACTGTTCCCTGGTTTTCAAAGAGCCAGGGATTATGTAGTTGATCTAATAAGGCAGAGTTCTTCCGAGAATGTAAATTTATTCGACTAGGACAAAGTTTTTCCGAAGTCTCTCATCAAATAAGAGACTTCGGAAAAACTTTGTCCTAGTGTAATGTAGTTGTTGTACCCTGCCAGCAAAGAGCGAGAGAATATGTCTGTAATTCGTTTATGCTGAAGTTATCTGGATGTCTTTCAAATAAGAGAGGAAATCCAGATAACTTCAGCATAAGTTAATGCAGATGTGGTTCTCTGGCTCTTTGTCGGCCAGAGAACGAATAAAAAGTTTATTGAGTGAGTAGGCTCGATGAATGCCTACTCAGTGCAAAGATATATTTTTTGTTATTTTTGATATATCTTAAGGGTGCACCCGTATGTACGTTTATTTGAGAGGAGGAGGATTACCCTCTCAATTTTGAGGGATTCGTTAGTTTATTTTCTCGATGAATATGCAATAAAATTTGATTTTTACCTTATCAATATACTTCATATAATATACACATGTTCATGTAAAAACTTTTTTCCAAAATCCTCAGGAATTAAGGGATTTTTGAATTTTAAGAATTTTTTTCGAATTTTTTCGAAAAAAAAATATTTTCAGAACAGCCTTAACGGCTAAGATTTAGGAACAATGTTAAGTATCAAAAAGAAAGGAGGTCTGATATAGACAACATATATCGTTGAAGGTTGAAAAAATCTCTAATATTTGAGCCCAAAATTTCAAATTTTAATTTTTTGAAAAAAGAGGCCACCCGTATGTACGTTTATTTGAGAGGAGGATTATATCTTTGAAAGGGTGAAACATTATGAATATGTTAATTATATAATAATATGTATTATTATAAAAAAGAAAAAATAAAGCACGTTAAAATTTTTCTTTCTTGATTTTTTACAAAATCTACTTAGAATTATGCAAAATATGACTAAATAATTATAAATTTCAAGTTAAATTTTAATTTTGATAAATAATTTAAATTTCAAAATATCAAGTTCAGTTCGACTATGTATGTAGTAATTCCTCAATAAAGTGCCAAAACCCTATTAAAATATATGAACATTTTCAACATTTTAATGTTTTTATTTAAAAATTTGTTGGAATATGAGCTTCAAACAATTATTATGTAAATAAAAATAATTAAATATATGTATTTATTCGTATTACAACCGTAGTAAGTCGATTCTTCCTTTCTTCTACTGAGGTTTGAATTTGATTTCGAATTGTAAAGAGATTCAAAGGGAAAATACTAGCGGATAAAAACTACCTCCATGAAAGGGTCAGAATGGAGTCAAGTTGTATTTTTTGATATTTTTTGCTTTTCGAGCCTAAATAGGTAGCCAAGATAATGCCTAAAAATAAGGTTCTAAATTCTGAAGTTTACATGATCCTCTCGTGTGCACCCTGAAATATGTTGTGAATTATTCTTAAAAAAATTTAAAAAGCTTCTAAATATCATATATTAAAACAACAATAGTAAGGAATATAAAATGCATCATAATGTTAAGGAAAATCACTTAATAAATATTATGATAAATTTGAAAAATGAGATGAAAGCATATAATATATCATATATGTATTCTATTTCTCACAGTGTATTGGTTTATCATGCTTAAAATGCAAAGAAGTGCGAAAAAATTAAAATTGAAAAATATTAGCAATTACAAATCAAATTTTGATGTTTTTCTACATTAGAATTCATACTTGTTTCATTTATATTAGATTTGCAGAACATATTAAGGTGCTTCTCGGGAAAATTAAGAAGATTTAATTAAAATTTTGAAATAAGTTTGAGTTCAAGGATAATGATGTATATGATATGAATGCACTCTCATTGAGGATGTATTTAAGCTCATGTTAATTTTTCATGATATTTTTAGAGTTCGAAAGTACCCAAAGTACAAGGATTTTTTTTAGAAAAAAGGAGGATTAAAAAACCGTAATCCTCCTTGTGCACCTTAAGGGTCCACTGTAAGGCCAAATAAGGTCTATCGTCGTCCCAAAAATATTGCTCGAGATGGTGTTTTACTAAGGCCCAAAACTTAAAAAAACACAAAAAAATTAACTTTACTCTTTTGAGATCCTTATCAGATGCATCAATTTGATGCAGTATCGCAGTTCAAATCTGATTTTTTAATGTAGATGTACTCTAACATCCTTTAAAAACTGCAAAATGATATTAATTAAGCTTTTCATTTCTGTATCATACACGAAACAAAATCGTTCATTATACTAAAATTTATCAAAGTTTGATTAATGAAAAAATAATATCTAAATTTTTACATTGAGTCGGCTATTGATATGGTTAATATTAAATCTTGTAAAAATTGGCATTATCCAGAATAATACCCACTAAAATACACAATTTTTTTTAAAAAAAATTTTATCAATTGTTATTGTATATCTTTATGATAATGAATAAAATGCTTATTTTTCATAAGTAAATACATAATTTATACTTAAACACAAAAAATAACACGAAAATTTTTGGCCAACATATCTAAACTAAGGATAATGGTTTGAATATATAAACAATAATACTTTGTCCAGGGAATTAAATTTGTGCTATCCAATTGTCAATTCTTTGAATTTTTTTTAAATGCAAGATATCCCGGCATTAGCCTCAATAAATATATATATTATGCATCATAATATTAGTTTGTAATGGCATTAAAGCGAAATTCCTAATTTCTTCTCAATTAAATTCCTTGAAAAACATTGGAATTAATGATTGGAAATAGGTCAAAAAAATTCCTAATATAAAACTTATACTTAAGATAAAATTAAAATTCGAAAATATCTATTTTTCAAAACACGCATCCAAAAGCGAAAAAAATCGAAAAAATCATGTTCTTATAAAACTCACTGATTTTGCAATTTTTATGAGATTTGAAGTGATAGAATATATTACCATCTTATTGAAACATATGCTTCATTGTTGTATTCACATAATATTAATCAGAACACTAGGAAAAGTGGATTTTCGAAAAATGACGATAACGATTATTTGCAAATCGCCTCTCAATTTTGAGAGACTTTCAATTTTTACAGTGGACCCTTAAAAAAAAACATAATTTGATACTATGATTGTGTTTTAGCATTGGAAATAAAGAATACTAAAGGAATAAATTAGAAATTCATTGAAATAGTAATTTTAACTCAAATGTCATAAATTTCAATTCTTAACATGAATACAAACGCTTTTTAAATAAATCATAGCAAACTCTATTTCGTGTGAAAATTGCCTACATATCTAAAAATTAAAAATAATTAATTTGTATTAGAATAAAACAAACAAAATATTTATTCAAATTACATATCCTTTGGAATAATATTGTATTTATCGGCAGCGCGCAGATATAATGAAAAATTATTCTGAGCTGTTCGATCAATTTCATTCTTTCTTGCACGAAGATTGTCACCTCCTACTCCTATGCATTTGCTCATTGAAACTTTGACTTCTTGGACGGTTGAAAAATATAAATATTCAAACCAAAGTCTGTAACCTATTGCGACACCAATATAGTATATAATCAATGAAAATGTTGATCTCATCCAATTTAATTTATTAGTTTTCTTACCAGATGTATTTGCCACAAAATAAGAAGAACTATTTGGAGAAGAAGTAGAAATTTCGACTGTATAATCCGGGTTTCTCTTCTGTACATCGTTAATTTGCTTGGCCATCTCTTGTTGCGCTCTTTCTGTGAAACAACAGTTAGTTGCAGTGGTAACCTTTAAACATTCGGAGTATTTGACCTCTGGGAATGGTGTTAAGTCTTGCCACGTATCGTAATCGAAATATATTGGCGAAATTTCTCTTGATTGCTGTAAATTATTATTTGGACGACGCAAAATTTTAACAACGGGTGGATTTCCAAGGCTATTGCATATTGCTTCATGGAAATTCCTTGTAACAGGCGTTTCTGTCAATTGCAAAATGAAAACTCTTGCGCAATGGAATTTGATAAAGAGTAAGATTAATAAGAGTATAAAAATTACGATCTGGAACCATACTTCGTAAGAATTTCTTCTCATAGAGATGATAATTCCGTAAAGAATGTTAGTGAGGAAATCAGAAACAGCAGTACCGACTAATTTAGCGGTCATCCTAGGGGAATAGCAAATTGCGAAGTAGCACACCATCGTAGGAACAGCAAAAACAATAATCCTGCAGACTTCTCCTAATAGATAATGCTCTTTCATTCAACTAAAAAAGTGACAGTTTCAATGAATCTTCAAGACTTCCGGCAATTACTCGAACTTCAATTGATAGACCAAGATAAAACGAGAATGGAAGCCGAGAAGACGTATTTCAGCTTTCTCAAAGAGGATTATTCAAGAATTGTTGCAATGCATACGGAAAATCTCTTTACACCAGGCTCAGTACGTTTGAAATCACTATCATTGATTCATTTATCCTATTTATATCGGAATTTTTCAAAAGGAAAAGGGCTAGTCCTTTCGAACGAAATAAATGAATTTATGATAACAAATATATTGAATTTTTTTCAAGTTCCTGAATTTACTAATAACGAAATGAACAATGTTGCATTTACAGTTGCTCTAATTAGCGCATATTACGTTTCTAGAGATCCGAATGTAAATATTCCGAATCAATTGTTATCTCTTTGCCACGATTTCGAATCACATCTCTTTCAACCATACATGACATGCCTATCACAAATTATCATGAGAATACCTTCAGACCAATTAAATTTAGATCCAGAAAGTTCTTTACAACTAGTGACAAATTGCCTTCAACCATCGATTGATCCGATATACTCTTCATCAGCAATGAAAATTTTATTCGCATTAGTAGAAAATGTCGGTGCAGTCGACTCATTAAAAAATCTTGCGGGAAATATATGCCAGGCGATATCTAGTTTTAGCGGGGACACTTTATTTCAAGCACTATCAGATTTAAACATATTTACGCCGAAGCATTCGGACTTCTTTTCAGATATTTTAACAGATATAATCCAAGTTTTACTAGAAATCTCATTAAATACAGAAAACGCAGAGCAATCACGCATGAAAGCATTACTAAACATGAATATCCTCATTTTACAGATGCCTTCCCTTTGTTCAGATTTTCTTGGAGATATTATTGAGGGAATCATTCGAATTGGATGCGAAGTAACAATAGAAGATTATTTATTATCAGATGAAGACTTCACATATAGTCAATACGCATTAGATCGGCTTGGAGAAATAATATTAGACGATACTTTAGCTCCTTTAGCGATTTCTATATGCAATGAAGCTGTTAGTCAGCTTCTATCCTCATATATATGGGAAAATACATATGTAGGCATAGTAATTCTCGAAAAAATAATTCGAGCGGGTTCAGATTACACAATATCCTTTTTAGGGGACTATATTTCACTTATACTACCACATGTTACTGACGAAGCTCCAATAATACGCACGGCAGCTTGCAATACGCTCTCAATTGCTTCGACAATTTACCAGCCAACGATACAGAACCAATATGCGTCAACCATCATCCCAGTGTTTGTTCAACTGATTGACCAGGACGCAGACGAGAAGTCTTGCTGCGTAGCAATACGTTCTCTCTCCGAGTTTTGCCAATTTTGCACTCCGACCACTTTAGAAGAATATTGCGACCAAATATTGGCGGTTATTGTAAACCATGGCCTTGCCGATGGCAATGAAGATTTCCAGTCAAATGTTATAGGTTGTGTCAATGTTTTCATTCCGAAACTGAAGAAACCTTTTCTAGATAATTATAATCAACTATTGATCACAATTATCTCGAATCTTCAGACAATGACCGATAAGCCGAATGTCAGAGCAAGAACACTTGAAATGATTTACCTCAAAAACGAATATTCACTCATGACAAATGAAATTACAGATTTAATGTCACTTTTCTTGTCATGGGATTGGGAATTATTAAGTATTGATGAATATCAGAACCTCACGAAATGTGTTCTATCTTTTTCCATGTTCAACACCCCGGAATTCATCAATTTCGCACCAGAAATCATGAACAAATTAATTTTGATCCTGATGAATGCGAAAAATCCAACAGTTCATCCGGAGTTTCAATCAGATTTCATCCAGAACTCAGATACAATACCATTGCTTTGCGATAACTCTGTCATCGAAATCTCAAAATCCGAAATTTCGAAACTAAAAAGTACAATTTTGACAATTGACAGAATTTTGTCAGTTATCGGAACTCAAAATTGTATCACGCCTTTTTGGGGACAGATAAAGAAAGTATATGGTGATTGCATGCTGTTAAATATATACCCGACACTTCCGGAATGCGCTATACATTGTTTCGTGAGATTCTTTTCTTTGTACAACGAAATTGATGACGAAAAACACACAAAACTCCAAAAATTTGGATCAACATTTATTAACATTTGTCTTAAACTTGCTAATATCACTGCGAACATGATGATATTGGCAACAATTGTAAGACATTTGAGATTTTCTGTTGTGAAACTCGCAAATTTCGGAGTTTTGGATTCCCAAAATTTGTTGAATCAAATTTTTCAAATTGATGAATTGGTCGAGAGCAAAATCAACAAAAAAGAAATGATTGACACAGAAAGAGATTGTCTTGATAGTGAAATTGGTGAATTCTTGGCAATGTGGTTAAAACTGTTTCCAAACGATAGCGAAACCGTTTTGTCAAATTTGATTGAAAAATATCCGATTAATTTTGAAAACACGAGGCCATTGACATTAGATATTTGGGTTCTTTGGTTTACAATCAGTCAATGCCAAGACGAGCGTTTGCACAGTGATTTAATCAAATGTGTTTTCAATCAAACAGGATCTCCATCAATTTACGTGACATTAAATGCTTTTTTGTGTTTAAATAGATTGGCTAGGTTCACTCAACTTAATGAAGAAACACTACAAGATGCCGTTGTCACTGTTATCTCTAGTTTGGATAGAAGTTCTATTTCAAACAACAAAGAAATTGTTGGTTCTGCGATGATTGCTTTGAGTTCACTTTTACAAAATTTGGAGAAAGAAACAAATGAAAACTTATTAGTTTTTGTTGACAAATTCCCATTGACAACCAATTTTGAAGATATAGATATTACTTATTCGTATTTCCTTTCTCTTATAGAATCAGAACAGTTCCAAATGGATAAGAATTTAATGCAGATTTTGATCAATGTTATGGTTTTTGTTTCAAATAATGAAATCATTTCATTAGAAAATATGAACAGATTAAAGACAGTTTTCCAAGGAATTACACAAAATGAATCACTTGTTCATGTATTAATTGACTTGCTTCAGAACTCAGATATGAGTACTCAGAAAGTATTCTCTTCAATAATGTAATTATATTTTTATTGTTTAATTTTTCTTGTTATTTTATTTTCTTGTTTTTATATTATAATATACTTCTAATTGTTTATTTTTGACTATCTATTTTATATTTAATAAAAATATCTCTTTTATACAAATACTTTTTTAAATCATCTACTTAAGGCTGCACTTACGCCCATCTGACTTTAATTCAAAAATTTGACAACTGGTGTGAAGCGCCATTGAAAATTAACTTTAAACATCTGAATTGAAGGCCATGTCATAGGGGCGTAAGTGCATCCTTATAACGCATATACGCCCGTATGCTATGGTTTCAATTATATTGTTTAAGGTTAGTTCTCAAAGCAAGGTGAATATGATATACTTGAATTTCTGGAAATAAAAGCAGAAGTTAACAACAAACGAAATAATAAATTTGATATCTTGTTTTTAATTGTTTCTCTTATTTCTAGAATATTTTATGCTATCATATGATAAATGCAAATTAATTGATAGATCGGAAAAATTTTCATAAAATATCATTTTCGAACAGAGTGTACACTTTCTGGCACCATTTCAAAGTTTATAAGATTTTCTTTTCTTTGACTTTTCTTACCCGAATTTCATTTTATTGAGAATATGTCAGAAAAACGATTAATATATAGACATGGTATTTAGAAAATACAAAAAACACAAAAATAATGATCATATTTCAAATCTGAATAATCTCAGAATATAATTTCTTATCTTCTTTCTTATGTGAATTGCGAAGTTCATCCATAAACTCACGTACTTCTGTAGTCTTCCATGCTGCTTCTTTTACTTTATTAAATGCAAAAGAAGACTCAAGAATTTTAGCTTTCTTTTGATTAGAAACAGATGGAAGATATAACCATTCTTTTCTCAAATGAATTACATTAACACATGCTGTTCTATGCAACGCACACAGTTGTAATACAGCTTGGTAACTTCCATCGTGAAATCCACTTTGTTTTAATAAAGCAGATAACAATGCAATTGAAGGTTCAACTGTTGGAATTTTCGAAATATAAGAAACAGCCAAATCAAGGAAATCTCCAGAAGAAATATGTTTTGCAAGGATTTGTGAAGGAATAACAAATCCATCATCTGATTTAGTGAGACATACTTTGTAAGCAGAAGTTGTATGTGAGTTACTCATCTTAAGAACTTCAAAAAGAATAGATCTAAAGTATTTTGCTCGATACTTTTCAAGTTGTGGATTTTCAGAAATAACGTTGAGCATAAAATTCAAATATTCTTCACAATAAGAATCAATAAAAAGATGCCAACAATCAATTGCAAAGTCAATGACATCCCACGAACTCTTTTTTGAGGAAAATTTTGATAAAGGGATTGACAAAATTTGAATTACATCGGAAGGGGTATGAGGAATAAACTTTCTTATGTAATTCAACATGTTTCTTGTCAATGAATCTTTTTCCTTTTCAACAATCAGTTTAATAATATTAAGACATCTCATGGAATGGTCTTGTGGAAAGACAGGCATCTTGTCTAATATACCTGACTCACTGAACGCTCCTATAATTGTCTTTTTCTTGGCAAACAAATGCTCCAAAGTATCCAAAATTTTTGGAATAAAATCTTTCGCTGTTTGATCTTTGAAAGCATTTGCAACTCCTGAGAAAAAGATCTGAGCATTCTGGAGAGTAAGTGAATGGGCACATGCAGAGAAGTTTTCTATGTAATCAGGAATAGAAAACTGTTGTAATCTGTCGAATCTTGGTCTTAATTTTTGACTTGATTCAGTTGCAGCACGTTTTATGGCTGATTCTGAGAAAAGGGGTGGACGAGGGGCATCAGATGTGTTGGACAATGCGAGTTTCTTTGTAGCGAATGAGAGTTCGTCCATAAAAATAGAATAATTCGTATTTTGAAATACAACATCGCCGTGCTTGAGTTCTTTGACGATATCTGAAAACGTTGGACGTTCTGATGGATTTTGGGACCAGCAACGAGTGACTAAATGCTTGATTTTTCGTGGAGTATCATCTGGTAATTTTGGACGTTTTCCTGCGAGCACCATTTTAGCAATTTCGGCATCTTTGTACTTTATAAATGGCATTGTTTCTGTCAACATTTCAACAATAATCATACTAAAGGCATAAACGTCAATCTTTTCTGTATATTCAGATTTTTCGAACAATTCTGGGGCCATCCAATTTGTTGTACCTATTTCTAACGTCATGAGTTCGTGTTCTTCTGGTAAAACTCTCGATAAGCCGAAATCGCAAATCATTGGGAAATTTCTATCATCTAGAAGTATATTCATTGATTTTAGATCTCTGTGTATGATTCCTAAGCTGTGGATATGTTCCATTCCAACAGCAATTCCATACATAATTATTGATTTTTCCGTTGGAGTCAATTTGTTATTATGTTTACTCTTATACAACTTTTGATAGAGTGATCCGTTTGGTATATACTGTGTAATAATCGAATATGGATAATATGCGGTCCATCCAACAATTGGTAAACAAAATGGATTTGTACAACGTATTAGGACTTCTATTTCTCGTTTAAATAGCAAAAGATCATCACCTTTAAGTTCTTTGAAGAACAGACGCTTAATTGCGCATCGATATCCAGAGGGTTCGTGAACTCCGTAATAAACTTCTCCAAATCCACCAGAACCCAATTTTTTGCCGATATCGAAGTCTTCTAGGCAAACAATAAAAGATTGTAAAAGTGGAGTAACCTCATGAAATATTGATGTCATATTTATGGAATAAAATCTAACCTCGTGAATAAGATTAATAGTATTTTTGCAATAAGTGCTATATAATTAACAATTATTTGGATCGATGAATATCGAGAAATATTACATTTTTAGGGGGAAACTCTTCAATAATTAGGGGAATTGCTAATGCGTTCCTCGTTCGACCCGCAGAAATTATTGATCAACGAGAATGATACCAAGGTTTCTCAAAAGTTCTTAGAGATATATTTCGGATCTGCAAGTCAATTAAGTCTTCCGCGGTCTGAGGAACTCGAAATTCCGACAAATCAGTTATTGGATTTGAAAAACGAACTTGCCAAGCTTAGAGTTTCTTTGCAGAAATCTAAGCTTCAATATCAGAGCGAGATTCAGCCGCTTAATCAGGCTCTGGAGCAGTTCCAAGCCACGAGATATTTGAATCAAAGAATGAATCAGACTATGACACCAAATAAGTTTGAACAGATGCCTAAACCAACTCCATCGCAAAAACAGTCTGCTCAAAATAGAAATATGGTGAAAAACGAAAAACTCAATAATACAAACAGAGGTTCAGAACGCAGTGTACGAGCTCTTCGTGACCAAGCTGAACGAGCTACAGGGAACCCTCTAGATATATGGTACAGATCTGAGCCTATGTTCGCAGCTTTGCCATCAGCTGAAGAAATTAGCGCCGTTTTTAAAGCAACGATAGATAGATCATTACAAGGAGCATCTTTGACATTATCACGAGTTACAGAGTCCCAAGTTCATTGGAGTCAGACTCTTCTTGAAAAAGTATCAAAACTTATGAAGGATAACAAAAGGAATTTAAAACTACAACCACCACCAGGTCCACCTCCTTCGCCAGATGATATTTCCGACTACTGGATAGCTAATCCTCCTCCTTTTCCAATAGAAAATATGCAAAAGAGAAATTGCTCAACCATGCACTACCTTTTATCATCATTAGTTGAAACCAAACCGATAAAGCCATCTACACCTCGCAAAAAAGATCAATTTCTCCCTTTGAATGTTTTGGCGCCAAAATTAGAATTCGACAGATACTTATGCCTTGACTTTGATGATCGTCTTGGCCTTGAGCTCAAGAGTATTGGGCTCGACAAGAACGATGGCCAAAGTCTCAGTCATAAAGATACATTTGCAGATGAAGTCGCCAAACACCAAGCACAAATCAGAGAACTTATACCACGGGTCGAAGAGAGTCAAAAGCTGCTTCTAGATAAACTTCCTCAGTTCGCAAAACTCGAAGAACAGCATTTTTGGGAACAACAGTATTACAACGAGCTTTTTGCTCTCTCGCAAAAAAAGGGCCGCAAGAAATAGACAAGCGATATTATGTAAATTGTGTTTATATTCTATATTCGAAATTTTTTATTTTTAGATCTGTTTATAAATCTCAAGAGTCCACTTACTACTTTCAGGCATTATCTTATTTTTTTTCTTTATGGTTAAGGGTGCACTTACCACTTTGTAACATGCTCTTGCTAAATCAATATAATAGCAAAAAAGTATAACTGTTATACTAGGCATAATATAATGATTTATAATAACTTTTCCCGATCAAAAATAATAACTTTTGACCTTAGAATATTGGGATAAAAAGCTTGTCTGTCAAAAAATTTGATAGAATGTCAGAAAGTGATAAGTGCATCCTTAAGATCTTCTTATAGCATCAGTATACACATAATTTTTATAACAAAAAAGTATAACATCCATATTAGATACTAATAACATTTTACAAACCATAAATATTAGCAGTGATCGTGTGATTTGCGACCAACACAAACTTTTTTCATTAAAAAGAAACAAAAGTAAAAACCAAAGTTGTTTAATTGAAAAAGTTTAATACCCATGTATATTATAATATAATTTATACACTTCTGTTGTAGAAATGTCTTTTCCAATTATGCGCAAATAACGGTCATTTCCAACATAGGCAGTTCTTCCATCTGCAAGTTTTATTTTGCCTGAAGCTGCATTAAAATCAATTTGGTTGGAACCAGATTTAATGAAGGCATAGACTTTAGGATAAACTATAACCTTTGGACAAGGATATTTACCTGAACAGTACGGATCGGCTTCATGAAGAACTAGAACACGATTGTCCTCTAGTTGTCAAGAATGTCAATCTCTATGGCGATACGCATATCTATCATATTCTCTTGATGCAATTAAGAAAAGAAAGAACATGGAGAAATGTCAAATATGTCATTTGACAAAATCAATAACTATTTCACAGAAATTGAGACATGTTCTCAATTTCTGTGAAATAAATTTTGACTTTTGTATACACTTTTTCCAATAAAATTTCGAATTTTTAAATTCTATTCCAATAAGGTTAATTTTGAAAGAGTATAGAAATTATTTTGCTAAAATTTCGTTTGAAATGGTGATTGGAATAGAATTCCATCATTCTTGCTCTTTTTGAATTACATTCAAAAAGAGCAAGAATGATGTTAAATTGTTTGCATCTGAAAATTGAAAGATCTAATTGAAAAAGTGTATATCCAGTCTTAGCATGTCTGAGGACATTTTGGTATAATTCTTCTAAAATAACTATTTTTGAATAATTTACGTTTGAGTGGATGTGCATATAATTCCGGACATAGCTTTTTTGAGAGTCGACTAGCTTTTGAGCCAAAAATACTATTTCGAATAAACAATGATTTATTTTTTGGCTCGTTTTACTATCTAATCGGTTGGAGTCAGATTTAATGAAAGCAGAGACTTTGGGAAAGAATGTGAATATTTGATTTGTAGAAGTTATTTATCGAGAATGAAATAAATATTGCAAATAACGAAAAATAATGGTGCAGATTAAGAGATTATTGGTAAATAAAACAAATAAGATCAGCTTTCGATTTTTCGAAATATATTAGATCTTGGAGATAAATTTTTTATGCTGTTGAAGCTACAGTTTCATTTGGTCATACTCCAACCCCTTGTCGTTGGGTATTCGTGGAGTTATGGGCCATTAAAAAAAAGGAGGATTACGACTCTCTCAATATATGAACATGGAGCCATAATATAAGCATCCGGATGACAATCCTATTGCCTTAAACTGTCCTATTATTATCGTGCCGTTTCTCATCAATAGATTTAATCAAAATTCATAAATTTTATCAGAAATCTTTGTAGTCACTGCTTTCACATTTATAACATATGATATATTTCTTCTAATGAATTTAAGTGGTAAGTTATATGGGAAAAGGCAAATATGTCCTTTATAAAAATTATTAATGTCCTTTATAAAAATAATACTATGAACTAAGAAATACCTACAAATATTATATCGATATATACATCTTGTTGTATCAGTTGAAAATGAAAAAAGAAGAAGAATTAAATTCAATTTTCAAAATGATCAAAACAGAATTGATTAATTCAAAAGATGAATTCAATAGAAGATGGAAAAGCCGCACTTCATATTGCAGCATATCATAATAGCAAAGAAATAACCGAACTTCTTATTTCACATGGTGCAAACATCAATGAAAAAGATAGAAATGGAGAAGCTGCACTTCATATTGCAGCACGTGAAAATAGTAAAGAAACCTTCGAAGTTCTTATTTCACATGGTGCAAATATCGACAAAAAAAGAACTAATAATTGAGAAACCGCACTTCATGTTGCTGCACGTAGAAATAATACAAAATTGCCGAATTTCTCATTTCACATGGGGCAAACAATGTTTTTACATAAGTACTAATCTTTTTCTGGTATTTTCGAAGATGAGTTTTATTAGAAATAATAATAATAAAAAACATAGTTAAACTTTTCCACTGATTCTATACATAAGCGATTTTTTGCGCATCACTCAATTTTTTATGGCCATTCCTTAATTTTTATTGGATACAAATTAAAACTGGCTGCGTGATTCATACAATTAAATATACTTTATAAAATTAGCCGAATTTGGAACAACCGTCCTAATTCTCATTTTTATTTGGGCCTATTTTAAAAACATTTAGAAAGAACTGCAATTGGAAGACTCATAAATGGGTCCAAAAATAATCATATACCTGAGAATTACACTTTTCCGACATTTTTGTGACGCTTCGCGCCCCTGATAATACTAAATAAGCTCAAATAAATTTAACCAAAAATTGCTTGGTCATGTATGTTCGCAATTTAACTTTTGTTATTTATGAAAGTTTTTGTAGATTCATATATATTTGCTATCAAAGTTGATGGTGAGTCAAAAATTATTCTCAAAATTAATGTTTCTCCATAGGAAGAAGAAAACTAAGAATTATTATTATGGGCTTTTCCCGAAATATAAAGACTATATTGATACATTTAATGCACTATACCAACTTAAATCAAATGATGAGAATGAAATTAACAAAATTTATCAAATGATCAAAACAAATCTAATAGACACGAGTTTATTTACACCAAGTAAGATAATTTACAAAATATCTATGATTATACAATTTAACAATCGCTTTTTACAATCTTATTGGAAGATTATAAAACGAATTTATGATGAATTTCATCCAAATCAAATAGATAATATTCCAACGCATATTTCTTATTTTTTTTATAAAGAGTATGGTGTTATTTTAAGAGATGTGGAAAAAATAGATTTTGAATCTTCCTTTTATCGCAAAGATTTCTCATTATTTGTTCATGAAGACAAAACAATTTATTCGGCAATAATGAATGATGATAAGGAACATTTTATAGTTTTCATAAATGAAGAAGGATTTGACCAAAATCAAACAATAAATAATGATTTTTATCCATCTTTAATTAAAGAATTATCATTACTTGAATTATGTTGTTATCATGGGGCAGTTGATTGTTTTAAAATTTTACGCTCGAAATTTAAATCAGAAATAACTCAAAAGTGTCTTGAATTATCATTTTTGGGCGGAAAACCAGATATAATAAGCGAATGTTTGAAATATCAAGAACCAAAAATGACATTTTGCATGAAATATGCTATAGTTTCACACAATATTGACTTTGTTTCATTTTTAATGAATGAACATTATGAATTCATTAATTTAATTGATTGTGGAAAATATAATAATCTTCAAGCATTTTTTATATATTTGGATCAAACAGAGAATATCAACGAAAGTTTTGTATATTCTCCTTATTTCGAAATTCCCTCGTTGATTGAATATTTCATTCAACAAGGAGCCGATATAAATTTTAAAGAGAATATTTCATATCTGACAGCACTTCATAATGCATCTATCAACAACAGTAAGGAAATTGCTCAATTACTTATTCATCATGGCGCAGATATCAATGCAAAGAATTGCTCAGGAAATACAGCTTTATTTTACTCTGTGAAGGAAATAAGTAAAGAGATGGTAGAATTCTTTATTCATAATGGTATAAATGTCAATATCGAAAACTTTGTGACTTTGTATTACCTATGCGGTTCTAGAAATATGAATATTATAGAACTACTTGTATCAAGTGGAATCAATATTAATTCAGTAAATAAAAATGGGCAAACCGTCCTTCATGAAGCAACAATATTTTCTCAAGTAGAATTAGCATCTTTTCTCATTTCACATGGAGCTAATGTTAATATAAGAGATAATACTGGTAAAACACCTCTTCACCTTGCTGGAAAATCTCCAAATCCTTTTCTCGTAAAACTTTTTATTGAACATGGTGCTGATATCAATGCGAAGGATAATGAAGGTAAGACAGTAATTCATTATGCATCAGAAATATATATTACACAAGTCTTGCAGATTCTTATACCAAATGGTGTAGATATCAATGCAACAGACAACAATGGTAAAACAGCTCTTCATATTGCATCAGAAAGAAACATGTATAAGATAGTAAAATATCTTATTTTAAATGGGGCAGACATTACTATCAGAGATAAAAATGGAAAAATGGCTCTTGATCTCGCAAAAGAAAAGAATCATAAAAAAATCGCAGACATTCTTAATTACCCCGAAAAATATTTCAAAAGTTCTCGGGGACTATGTTATATATAAATTAAATTAAAGCTAGAGTTGTCTCGAGATATAAACATTTCATTTTAAACATTAAACATTACAGTTCTCCGGTTAAATATAAATCATCGACATATTATTAAGTTTTTGTTTGAATTTTATGCTTGATTATTGATAAACACAATGATGCTTTATTTTTGAAGATATGGTATATCATATGCATCTCATTGAAGTTGTACAGATCCTTCCATTGCCACTCACATTTATTATCATATATAAACTATAATAGTATTAATTTGAATTGTTTAACTAAAAATTTAATGGAGTTTTAATGTTACTCGTGGAATTTTCCTCGCTTCAATATAACGTAAATATTCAATTTACATTCACTATTTTTGTTAAAAAAATTCTTGCACAAAATTGGGACATCATCTCAAGTTCTGTTTACCAGAAGATATTCTCTTGATTATTGGTGATAGTCAATCTTATAATTTTCTAAATATTTCATATGTGGTCGAAAAATCAAAAATACTTAAAAAGATTTACTTATAAGATATCATTGATTTGAAGGATTTCAAATAATGTTTAAATTTCTAAAACAAAAAAATATCACTTTTATTTATTTCGGTTGTTGATTCTTAAAATCATCAATAAACTTTTGATCTCGAAATTTCATTTCATCAGTATATTCGTCACCAACAAATTCGTTGATCAATAGTTTGTCTTTTGTATAAATTTCGACTTCAACTTTTGATTCTTCATCATTATCTTTGTCGTTTTCAAGGTTTTTGGCAGGTAATCTCGTGAACAAACATGTAACAGTTCCTTCCTTAGAGAAATCGTAATCGAACTCTTCTTTCTCGGCGTTATCTACCAATGTGAATTTCTTCTCTGGAATTCCTTTAAGAGATGCAATGATCTTCCTTCCTCCGAAATCTTGGATGAAGAAAATGATGGAGCATGGAGGTCCTGATTTCCTCTTGAGGACAATCTTCGCTGTCTGTTTAGATGGAGATGTGATATGCCACTGCTGAAGTGTTGTCAATTTGTTCTTGAAGATGTTGCCGAATGTATCAATCTTAGCTTCGATTTCAGACTTCTCTAATTCGTCTTCTTTCAGCCTGTCGAGATTTTCCAAACCGAAATCTTCGTATGAAGAAATTTCCAAGTTGTATTTGGATTCTGTTGACAGCTCTGGAGCGAAAACACACAATGTCCAGTCACCGCGACTGAATCTGTATCCGAATGAGTCTTTCTTGGAGGTTGTTTCGAAGAATGCATCATCAAGATTTGTGACGAAATGGGCAATCCTTCCTTTCTTCTTTTGTAAAGCAATCATGTGTTTTTCTTTGTTTTCTTTTGACAAAGAAATAGCACATTCTGTTGCTTTCTTGAAATGCAATTGGACTTGTTTCAAAAGAGTCAATCCATTTCCGGATCCGAAGCAGTTATGACTTGAATCTTTCTTTGTCAATTTGCCTTCGAATTTCTTAGATGGAACTGTTTCGATTTCATCACTTTGTTTCATATCCAATTTACCATAAATTCGTGCTTCTGGTTTGATATCATCTCTTGATACTTTGATCTTCTCTTTATCACCAAAGTATTTCTGGTAATCTGATCGTTTACTCGTCTGTTCCTGTTGACTTTCTGTGTCAAAGTAATTATCGAGTTTGACTGAGAATTTGACATTGACTTCTTTACCTTCTTCTGTGAAGAAACCGATTGCGAATGGATTAGTGTTGTCATCAATGTCAATTCTCATTTGGCCGTTTCCTTCAAACAATTTAGAATATCTTGCGAAGAAAACTCTGTGTGTAGAAACTGTAGGAGTAACAAAACAAGTGACAGGAGAATCATTTGACTTTGTTACATCGATAAACATTGTTCCTGGTGATGAACATGTAACAATAAATTGAGGAGCTGTGAAAACATTGTGTGAGTCAACTTCACATTCATCTCCGACTGTTGATATTTGTGACAATTCTTTCTTTTGTTTATCAAGAGGTTTAACTCTTGACCACATTGCTTCTTGGTCTTGTCTCTTCTCGTATAATTCATCGAGATATTCGACCATTGTTTTCTCTTCTTCGTCATCTTCTTTCTTCGGTGGTTTCTCTTTGTTGACTTCGTTTCTTGTTTGTTCGATGAAAACTCTGTCTTTCTTGTAGTCATCGAGTGGATAATCTTCGGATTCATGGTAACCTTCAACGAAATCATTTTCTTCTTTAACTGTGCTTGTACTTGAACTTGAATCTCTCCTTTGTTTCTTATGCATCTTGTCAGAACTAGAACTAGAGCTAGATGAACTTGAATCGTAATCATCAATGTGGTCATCGATTTGTGTGATTGAAATAGGATATTCTGTGTACAAAGAAAGAGAAATCTTTGTTGAAGACTGGTGTTTCGTTAATCTTGTAACACAAAGTGACCATGGTAATTCCATTTTAGGAACATCGAAAACGAATAATTCACTTCTTGAATTAGCTTTCAATTTGTAGAAACAGTCTTTAACTCCTTCGTACGCGCATTTAGCTTTCTGACCATTGTTGTCTTGCATGAAAGCTGCGATCTGGAGATTTGGACCTTTCTTGTTCTTCAAGATAACATAGATTCTTTGTGCAACTGGTGACAAAACTCTCCATTGTGTTAAAGGAGTCAAATCGCTCTTGAAAGGAGAGATTCCATCTGCACCACCAATTGAACGCTTGGAATCAAGTGTGATCTTCAAATTGTTCAAGTAAAGATTCTCGTAATCAGGAAGTGGAACTTTTTCAATTGAAAATTCTGTTTCGCAGTGAATTTCCAATGACCATTTCGTGTCCTTTCTTTTATCTTTTTCGCGATGAACACAAAGATGCCAAACACCTGGTGTTGGATCGAAATAGAACCTTTCGTACTTCATGTTTGTTTCGAAGTACTCGTCCTCGCCAACACCGAAATGGTCAATTGGATGGAATGTCTTTTGCAAGGCAATTCTGTGTTTAGTTTCTCCATCATGTCTAAACACGAAATACATTCTTTTCATGTCATTTACAGTCAACTTAAATTGCTGTAAACATGAGAGGCCTTCGATTGTTCCGTAAGGAGATCTGTCATCTGTCCAATCAGATTTCAAAATACCATCGATTTTTTGAACAAAATCATTTGGTAAATCTTCAAATTCTGTCACTTTTTGAAGATTTATTTCCTGATCTTGACAAAAGATTTCGATGTCGATTTTGAGGTCTTTGTTCATTACGTCTCTACTTACACCGAAAACCAATGGGCGTCTGAGATCAGTGACTTTCCAACACCATTCTTCTAAAGGTGCCAATCCATGGATTCTTTTTGTTACAAGGAAATAATCACGTAATTTTCTGCTGACTTTTCCATCTTTCATCGCGTGGCCGAGGAAAACAGCAACCTTTGGACCAACCTTCTTTTCGCCATCTCCTTTCTTGTCTTCCTTTCCGTACTTCTCCTTTCTGACACGCATGTAAAGTTTTGTCGGTTTTTTGAGGTCAATTTTCCATTGTTGGCTTGCTGACACGTTTTTACCTTTTCCAGGATATCTTCCGTCCATTTCACCTGGAGAAAGAGTGACAGAGAGCTCGGCTTTGTGCATGTGCTCGTAATCTGGGTCAGGAAGAGGTTCAATGGTAAATTTGCATGGTGCTCTCATGCGAACATAGTAATGAGCTGGTTTATCTTGTGTATGTTCACGTGCCATCACTAATGTGTATGGTTGTGATACATCTTTGACATCCCAGATATCCGAAATTGTTTCATCAGAAGATTTGATGACGAAATAGTCTTTTCCGGCTTGGCTGACCTTGGTTGACTCGTTTTGTTCCATGAAAACTGCATGGCTGTGATGAGTTTCGCAAATTTCTTCGAAAAGAACTTCGACTTTGCATGGTTCTGAGAAAGTAACAACGAATTGCTTGAGATTTCCAACAAATGGGCCATTGCCAAATAGAGTACGACCATCGTTGTCGCCTGGTTCTATATCAATTTCGGCGGATTGTTGATACCAGCCTTTAAGTAATGGTTTACCGGCAGAAATTGAAGCGAAATAGGAGTTAAAATCGCCATCGCTGATCCAGAAGTGGCCACCTTCTTTGTATCCGACTTGGCGCTTAAATCCAATCGCCCATTTATCGGACATGGCTGAAAAATTGCCATTCCAGTCATCCATGCGGCCCCATGGATTGCGTAAATGTATTAATTTGTAGCCTCCGACTTGGTTGAGACCAACAACAGCATATGTATGGTCTTCGATTAGGCCAAGTTTAACAGCTTCCTCATTTTTGTCAATAGATGCGTAAACATCACCGTTAATGTCGAGTAGTTTTTGAATTTGTTCGGATGGAGTTTCCTTTAAATCTTGTAATTTAATTGATGTTGGAGAATATCCAAGAATATGATAGCAGGATGTAATTGCTGCACATCCCTTAACAGCCCTGCAGCTTCCAAGCATTTTGACATATGCTTTTTCGATAAGTGCAAACCAGTAAGAATCATTTTCTGTACGAGGGTAAGAAAAGATTGGCTGACCTGGCTGATCATCTTTTGATTGTGTAAAAGGAATGAGTGTATCAATAATTACATAAGCCGGTTTTTCGAAAATTTGGAATTTAACACAAACACAGCCGGTGTTGATGTCAATAGGATCTTGAAAAAGGGCGCGGACATTAGCTGGTTTGTTTGTCATCTGAATTAAAGTTGATAATAAGTAGCAATCGGATAATTCTCCTTGACAAATTCCGTACTCGTTGATATCATCAAAAATATTAGTACCATATACTTCTTCTATTCTTTTCCATTCAGCATCCTTTAAAATTCGTGCATCCTTTGGATTGATTTGTTGCTTAGGATAAAATGAAGGGTCTTCGTATTTTTTCTTTTCTTTATGGCAGTCATTAATGATCTTATTGTACTCTGCCAAAGTTGCATCAGCATTTTTGGACAGGGCAAACAATTTTGCGTGCGAAGACTGCATTTTGTCAGTTAACTTCTCAAACAACCATAAAAACGCTTTTTTACACTATTGCTAATTTTACCACCGACAACATCTGTATCTAATGGAATGTAAAATTCATGAACTATTTCGGTTCAGATTCCCAAATTTATCCAGAAATTGAGCAATTTTATTTCCAAAAAATCAATTCATATGAATCAGTAAAGAATATGACATTACACATTATTTCTGATATTTTCGAGTTCACAATGCCATTGTGACGCCAATTTTTCATTGGCCCAGATTTGCATAGTGCTCTCTGCAAATAAATTTGATTTGGCATAGTAAGGGTCTTGCCGATTTGGTTATTGATAATAATGAATAAATCTGGTATTTTTTAATTTTTCAAAAAATCAAATTTTTGATGATGATTAAGCTCAGTGTAAATTTGAGCATACTTCACCATATCATTATAGTTTGACCATAAAGCTTCCAAAAATTAGGAAATTTTATTCATGAAGGAAAATTTAGGCTTAATCTGTATAGATAATTATAAATACCTATAACTTATAGTATAACTCAACTAAATGAGAAATTATGGTCCAAAAAATAAGAATTTACCAATAGCTTATTGAGAATTTTGGAAGTCAGAAAACTCTCATTCAAAAAATTTCATTCAAAGTCATATTTCTACAAAAATAGGCAATTTTTAATCTACGTAATTAAAAGTAAGGGTTTCGTTTTGCTAAAATTGTCACTTTTATAGCATATTTGTTTTTGGATGTTTTGCGAAACCAAAAAAAAACTATGATATACAATGTGTGTGTAAAGAAAATACTTTATTTACTAGTTAAAAAATCATTTGGTATTGATCAAGTTATTTTTTCTGGATAAGATATTATATGGATAATTGGATAGAAAATACAATTATATAATCTTGTACCTGATTTAATTAAGCTAATTGTCATCAGAAACTTGTAATTTTTATGAATTTCAGATTTTCTTTTCATTACTGCTTTTCTTAATAGGTCAAGTTCTTATTTACGTTATAAAGTATGATATTTACAAATATCAAGTTATCATGTTTTTTGAGAAATTATGAGAAACAAACAAAAATGAAAAAGATAGGAATAGCAATGAATAGTGATGTGGGTATAGCAAATGTAAGAGATATGAATGCAAAGCAATCAGTATTTAGGATATTGACCATAGATTTCGAAAAAAAATGCTGCATATTGAGCGAAAACTATGATTATATTATAAGGCTGTCATTTAAAGCATAATGAAACTATTCCCTTTTCATTTTAATCGAATAAGATAGTAAAGATTTTTGAATTAGCTAGAAACTGATGAGATGTTTTCACAAATCAGATTTTTAATCTCTATAATGCATAATTCACTCAATATCTCAATTTTGATATTGCGAGATATTTTTGCTATCGGTTTCGCAATTTTGACACAATAGCAAGAGGGTTCTATAAGCATTATTATCAACGTAGAATCTGAATATCATATCAGAAAATGTCGCAAATCTGACATTTACCCGACCAAATAGCAAAAATAATTGAATACTTTTCGCCAAAACTTTAAAAATCGATAAAAATATGAAATATAGATATTAAAGAGACTTTTTATATAATATTCTAAGGATGCTAAAAGTGGGGAACGATAAGGAAATTGAGAGCTCCCCAGCCCCTCCCGGTGAATCCCCACAGTGGGGAAAACAAAAATAAAAAACTAAGTTTTTTTAGTCATTTTATTGAAATTTTTATTTTTTTGGAAGGAAAAAATGAAGAAAAAGCGCAATTTATACGAGTGAAATATAAGTATTTTAGCTATTCTAGCTATATACTATGTTTTTCCCTAATTTTAATTTTCTCCGCTTCGCGGAAATATTTTTGGATCCCCACTTTTGCAAAAGTGGGGGAATTCAATTTTTTGAGAGAATTGTGGGAAAACCGTTCCCCTTCACTTTGGGTTATGCAAAAACTAGCATTCTGTAATTGATAGAGCCGCAAGAGTATCACTTTGACCGAGGGGGAACTTATCCCCGGAGGTTTGGTGCGGTCAAAAACGATCTTCTAGTTGGACGCATATAATTTTCAAATTCTGAATTTGCGGTCCATGATTCAAATATCATAATAATCAGCTTAGCAAAAATTAAATCACACGTTTTTTGTCTCACGATAGCTTCATTTTATTTATTTTCAATACAAAATCCTTAAAAAAATACTAAACAGCTATGATTATATTCAAATATATAAACAACATTTACTAATTCTTCATGTATTTTGCGCTCTCATCTAAAATTTGGCTTAATGTCATAGAATTTGGGACTTTCTTATGAGTAATGGTATTAAGTTTTTACTAAGCAGACATTTACAAAGCTAAAATTATTTATTTTCAATCTAATGCTTGATCTTTTACCTATAAAAATTCGATAATGAGTGATTTTTTCTTTTTTTAGTCAAAATACAAGTATGAATCTGTAATAAAATTTCATGGTCATATGAACGATGATAAAGTTATAAGCCAAAAGAGTGATAAAAGTGTAAAATTAAATTTTATAAGTCTAGTATAGCTCTGAGAATACTTTATCGAAAGTACTCGAGAGCTAAACAAAATTGGCGTTAAGATTAAGGAAACGATGCCCAAATTTTGGCGAATTAAAATATAGATAATGAAATAAACTTGTTGTACGCTAAATTTATAATGAGACGTCTTTGTTAATGTCTGCTATGTCAAGATATCCAAGTGGATCTGATGGTATATATAGCAGGAATGCATTTTAATTTATAGTTAAAACCGTTTTTATCGTTTTTATTTCATATCACATGGCTGTACCCCCAATAAATTTTTTCCCCGTCGATTTGTAAAGTTCCCCACTTTTAGCATCCTTAAATATTCATAAAGATTTTCCAAAAATATGATACCGCAAAATTAAAAAAGTGACGTCTTGAGTGGAGTCAAAGGTCGAAATTGCTAGCTAAATGTTTTTTTTAGCGAAATTGCGTATTGTACGTTTTTTTTCGCAAAACGAAACCCTTATTAAAAGAGATAAATCAGTTTATTGCAAAACCGAAAAAATTGAATGTAACTGAATTACACGGAATTTCACATCATTATTTTAAATGAATACTGTTGATAAATACTATGTCAATGAAAAAGCCCTTGAAGAAGCTGTTAAGGAGAACATGAAACGAACTGGATTTAAGCCCAAAGATTGCGACGCTTATAAATGGTTGAAATCTTTTTTCGGAGATAAATTCAGCAGTGATGATGTCAAAAATCTTTCTTTAGTAATAAATGACAAGCTAGGAATTCAGTTTGGGCGAGAATATTATCGCAGAAAGAAGACTTGCATCTACTGGATTCAATTAAATTTCCAAGAAATTAAGGAAAAGTGGCCAAATTTTGCTATAGCCACTACTCATAAAGATATAAATGGCTCAGATAAAGTTGTTATTATTCCTCATCCATGAAAACTTAAGATCCAGACAAATTTCCTAAGGCAAATGTACCTAATGTATGTTCTCAAAGCTTATTAGGATTATTTCTTATATGTATCTTTTTTATTGATTAAATATTCATTTTAAATGGAAATTGTATCTCTTTGCATGACTGTGATTTTTCAATGCCGAGTGAATTATATTTTTGCTAGTTTGAAAGGAATCCCATTCATTAATTTAAAATAATTCTATAACTCGTAGTAATTTTGGTTCTGTAGTAAAAGAAAATAAACCAATGAAAACTTTTGTATGTGTCGCGAAGCTGTCACCCAGTTGCTTAATGTAATTCCTCAAATTTATTCCATACAGAATGTTCACCAAAAATAGTGCAAAAGATACATTAAATTCATTGATTGAATCCATAAAATCCTCAATCTCTAAGCAATTGATTCGGAATGAATGAAAAAAAAACTTGAATAAAACAAGCATCTTGATGAAAATTCTATTGCCATCGACATTTACATTGTTATTGCATCATTTTATATCTATTAACTTAATCAAAATTCATATTTTATATCCGAAATAAAGGTAACTAAACTCCTTTCGCCGATCCGATTTGCCCCATATTTAAAATATAGCTTGCATATGTAGAAGAAAAGCTAATTTTGAAGTACGCCCGAAATCCACCAACAGGATTTCGAGCTACTAAAAAGGTACTTTTAAATGTGATTTTTTTTTATAAAAAATTAAATTTATTTTAAGATCAGACTAAAAACTAATTTTATGGAAAATCTATATCGACAAATTTATTACTTATTGGGTATATAGATTTTTTGATTATGGCGATTATGTCTGATATGTAGGGTTGTTAGATTCCCGACGATAGGTGTCTTGGAAGATTTGCCTGGTGTCATCATAGTGTCTTTAAATCAAAAATTTTATTTTGGAGTTAGTTTTATTGATTTTTCAATAAAAAACATTTCTAAAACAAGAAAATAAAACGATAAAATATTTATATTTTATATAAGGATCTTATATATTTAAAATAAATATCATTTTATTTTTTTCATTGGTGTCTGTCAAACCATAATACACTATTCAAAAAATTCAATGTGTCTTGCGGTTTCAAAAGACACCTTCAAATTGAACGATAGCACAGACACTATTGAATTTTACCCATTGTATTTAGTTTTTACCCTTTTTATTTTTAAGAATTAATGACTGAAACAGCCGTTTTGCTATGACCTCAATCACTTTTATTTATTATTTTAAATATTATTTAATTTTATTATTTGAATAGGCCAACTTATATTTGAGAAGCTCAATTTGAGACCACTTAATACATTGAAATATCATAAATATTGAAATATTAAAAAGTGTATTTCAAAATATTGAAATTATAAAAATTTATAATACTGAAATTGAGACAAATTAATAAATTCAATGTGTTTTTTTTGAAATAACTCTCAAATATTATTTTTTTGTTTATTTAATGATGAATAAATATGATGCTTTAGTCAATCATAAAAACTAATTTAAGTTTAAAATAATGAAAGGATAATTTGATCGTTTTTTAAAATACAATTATTTTTGATGATTTGCAAGAATCTTTGAAAAGAATATAATATAGGTTCTATTTTTGTAAAATTTATCCAAATCATGTATTACATAAATTACGATTAAAACGATGAAAGAACCAAAAAGTGTGTTTTGTGTTTTGTTGTTGCGTGTTGGATGCGGGATCCTGTTATTTCCGAAATCGACAAAAAATTTGGAAATTTAATTTCCGAAATCGAAATTATATTAATGTTTTTAATATTCTTATATCAAAAGGATTAAAGTTCATTAAGAGAAAAACAATTCTTCTTCTTCAATCTATTGGCGCATTTATTTCTACACGCCAATAAGGAAGGGAAAATTATAAGACACCATGGTGTCTTCAAAACGCTAATTTTTGATATTTTTAACAACCCTAACTGATATGCTTCCAATAAGCCAAAACACATTTCATACTGATTTCTATAAAAGGTATCTTTATTATAGAAGTGTAAGCTATATCTGTTTGAAAAAAAAAAAAAAAAAAAAAAAAAAAGGTAGTGGGGCTTCCAGGGGCTGCGCCCCTTCTAGCCCTGAAGATGTTTAGTATAAATGAAGTTTTTATTCGGAAAATTGTTAGTCTTCTGGTGTGAATTCGGAGGACTCTTCTTGGATTGAGTCTTGTATTTCCTCCTCTTCTTCCTCCTCCATTGCTTCTGGGAAGAAGTCTTCTTCTGGGTCGAAAACATTATATAATGTGTAATTGAATGACACATTATATCTTTCTTTGAGTTCGCTCCTGACAAAGAACTTAGTTCCAGGAATACAGAAGACTTCTGTGCGTTGGAAAAGCTGATGTCCTGGAACGAATTTGGCAATTAGAGACTTCTTTTTTCCGAATTGTTCAGGAGTTTTCATGACGACAGTAACAACATCTCCATCTGCGAGGTCTTGTTGTTCTTCGGAAAGGTAAAGAGCAATGATATGAATGGTTGCTGCGTTGAATTCGAGAAAGTCGAATTCAAATTGTGTTGTCGTATAACATTCAAACCATTTTGTACAGTTGTCTCCGAACTCGTCCTCGTATTCATCTTTGTCATATCCGTAACTAAAGACTTGAAATTCGGCAATTCTCTTGTCGAATGACCGTTGGATGGAACGAGGAAGATTTTGACGAACTTGGTATAAAGTTCTCAACATTATAAGCTTAGTAAATGTTGGAAAATACTGAACTAAGACATCGCTAAGCTCAATTGGACTTGGAATTGTCTTAGTAAGTTCAATTGAACTAGTAATTGCTTTGTTCAGAACTTCACAGAACTGAGTATTGTATGTAGCGTCTGGTTGTGTGTTTTCTTCGGCGTCTTTGAGATATTTAGAGCAAATTTGTTGAAGAATTTCTCTTAATTCGCTGTTAGACCTTTGGCGGTTATTCTAACCGCTGTGCCGGTTCTTGGAGGTTGTGGGGCTTTGGCTTTGGTTAGCGGTTGAGAATTGTTAATGTTTGAATTGTTTGCGACACTTTTTCTTCCTTCCATTATGAAAAATGAACTTTTTTTTCGGACTACTCATAGAAAAGTTTAAAATAAACCGTTTTCGTCAACGGTAACCCCTCTATTTTTTTATTTTATTTAATAGTTACCGTTGGAAAACCGTTCCATCTCAAATATTGAATGAACTATAAACGTTTTTTGTTTTCTATATATACTTTTTTGTCCAACGGTAAAACTTTTTACACAACGGTTTTTGAGAGTCGTCGCCGTTGACTTTTTTGTAGAGCACTCAAAATAGTATACTTTGTCCGGACAAGTAAGGGTCTATCGTCGCTACAGGAAAAGTTACAGGCGTTCCAAGGAAGTATACTTTGAGAAGCCTTTTCCCCTTATAGAATGAGATAGGACGGTTATTTTACAAAACTGACAACACTTTGACCGAGTAGTTTTTTGTGCTGAACAAAAAGTGTCATATAAACATCTGTCAAAAACCGCTTTTTAACTTCACTTAAAATGCCACGTAAGCTACGTAAGAATATACGTAAGAGGAAGAGAGCATTGAAACATCCAATAGTAAAACTGACACCACAACAACAGTTGCAACAACAAATAATGAATGACCCCACTATGTTGCAACAAATGTCAAGCAATCCTATGCTTTTAACCGAGTTCTTGGTGCACAGAGTGGAGGTTTAAGAGCGGCACTTTTAGCGAAAATGGCAGGCTATGGTGGAGCTGCAGACGGAACAGCTTATAACCCTCAAAGTCAAATGAATTTGAGTTCACTCAAAAATCAAATATCAGATGTCAAAAAGTCAAACATAGACATACAGAAGCAAATAAGTGAAAACGAAAAGAAACTAGAATATGACAGACACACAAAGAAACTCAATGAGTTAAACGTAGAGAAAAAGAAGAAAGAAGAACAACTGAAAGAACTAAGTACAGAGGAATATGCGAAAAAAGTGTCAGAAAAAGCAGCAGAAGTAGCAAAAATGGAACAAGATGTTGTAAATTTGAAAAACCATACTACTCGATATAAAGTACTGAAAGATGAAGAAATAAAACAAAAAGCCCTGAAGACATATATGGATAGCGATGAGTAAAAAGAAGTTGAAGCAACTGTAAAGGCAGAAAAACTTTTACAGTTGCAAAACCAAACCGTACAGTATGAAAACTTAGCACAAGAAAGTAAAAATAACGACGCAGCCATGCAAAAGGCAATGAAAAGCGCAGAATATATAAAAGCTAACAATGACTGGTTAGATGCCCAAGCCAACGCTAAAGCAGCCCAACTCATAGGGTCAATAAGGACAAAAATACAAGCGGATGAAGACAGTTCAAATGAAGCTTTAACGAATGCTGACTTTAAGAACGCCTTCGAAGCTCTTCATAGTAAGGTGAAACAAGTGAACGACTTCTCATCTGGAAAGAAACTGAAGTCTGAAGGTTTCGACAAAGAGTTAAGAGAAGTAGCACAAAATATGACGAAAATAACAGATGCAGCAACGAGACAGGCAGTTCAAAGTGCCTATGACGCCGTTAGAGCAACTGTTGTGAAAAGTCAAGAAAAAGAGTTACAACAGACCAAAACAGACTTAGTAAATGCTTTCTTAAGAACGAAAAGTCAGGTAGGACATTACGCTGCAGATGGAACATATGTGCCAGCTGGTGGAACTTATATACCACCAAACCCTCCAAGAGAAGCACCTGCACCAGGACTACCTAGAACATTTACATCGTCACATGGACACAGACACAGGCATGCACCAAAACCAACACAACAACCAACAGTTCAAAACCCTGCACAACAACAACAACAACAACAACCAACACAACAACCAACAGTTCAAAATCCAGCACAACAACCAGCACAACAACCAACAGTTCAAAATCCTGCACAGCAACAACCACAAACAGAGCAAGGACATAAAAGAAGTAGAGAACAAGGAAACCAAGAATTCTTAAAAATGCTTAAAGAAGAGTGTGGTTTCCCAGATACTGTTGACTTTAGTGACAGATATAAAGAAGCTATTGGAAAGTTCAAGGATGGAAATACTGACCCGAACCTATTTAGCTTTATGGCTCAGCACCAAAACGGATATAATCTCAAACCTGGAAAATACAAGCTCGCTAAGGGATATGATTTAATAGCATATCATCCAAATGACATGGATGAATTTACTCCGAGATATTTGATGTCAGAGCTAAATGACAATTCAACTTTCGTCATGAAACGCGTAAAAAATAGAGACGGAACGAAAGAACAAAAGCTTATGAATGCGGATGACGTAGATAGGGAAATTGTTGAAAACGGTCTCGGAATATATGAAATGCCAGCAGATGAGGTACAAGAAACTCCACAGGAAGAAGTTCAGATACAACCAGACATGGAAGAAATAGTTCAGCAACAACAGCTAGAAGAGCCTGAAGGAAACGAACAAGTCCTTCCTTTGGAAACTAACTTCACAGAACTAGATGAAGATTTGGAACAGCCGAAAAATCTTGACCTCAACAAGAGTATGCGGAGAATATGGAATATTTCCAAGAGTCTAAAAAAAATTCGGCTGACATAGTAGAAGAATATCGAAAAATGTTTGCCGACATACAAAAAACTCCAACACCAGATGAAAATATTCAGCATAGAATGGAAGTACTGAAAGAAAATGTACACAAATACAACAACCCTTTTTACTTACGAGCATTTAACGTTCAATCTTCGGATGAACTCGGTGAAAATAAAAGGTTAAATTTCAAGAAAACATATAGAAATGAAACATTGTTTAAAGTTCATTCAGAACCTAACCAAGATGGAAACAAACCTACTTTTGTTTCTGCAGACGATGGAACTACAATGAGATGGGGTCATAAAGCTAACCCGGATAGGTGGTTCATAAACTTACAACCACAATTCCAAGAAGTTGTAGACGCAATGGAAGTCAATGGTGAACCAGATATAGCTGGTATTTTAAGCGCGGCTTTAATGCCATTGAAAGATATGAAACATGCAGATATTTTGGACCAGTATGAAATGAACATGGCTGATGGAAATATAACACCTGACGTTCTAGAACATTTATCTCAAAGAACTACACAGAACCATAGAGATGGTATATTTGGTGAAGAGTTTAGAAAGAAAGTTATGGACAGCGAAGGAAGAGAACCTATTGTACATGACCTTGCAAACGAAAGTTTACAAAAATGTCATAAAAAACTTACTTTGCAGACAATGAACCGAGAAGGGATGAATATTTAAGAAAACTCAAATGGACAGTACCAAATGAAATGTTAGTATTGAAAAACATGTTCCTTGACAAAATAAAACCAACTACAGAAATAAACGACGCAAGACTGAAAGATTGGGTAAAAGCTTTCCCATTCACAAAAGATATAGTTGGTAACATGGAAAGAAAACCAGAATGGCTACAAAAACATATATTTGGAAACGAGCATATTCCATATGGACAGCACTGTTTGAAGAGCTTGAACCGGAAACTCAGGAAAGAGTCATGCAAACAATACGCGAAGACTCAAATACAGACTATGACAAACTCTTTCTAGGATATAGGGTACCTGAGATGGGCGACCAGAGCCCAAAGGCAAAAAGGACATGGGAAATTTACAACAGACTAGGTCATGAGGCAAAGATGCAACAACTTGAAGCAGAGGGCAATGAAGGAAAAAGAAGAGTTAAAAACTCAGTCAGGAAGAAAGTAAAGCTTGGTCCACGTGGTTCTATTATGACATATAAATCCAACTATTCTAATATTTTTACTCATATGAAATGTACGCCCTCAGAATATAACGCCAACAGTTTTGGATGCTATGAATGGAAATGTTTCCGAATGGTATAAAATGCGACAATGCCATTAGAAGGTCAGAATAGTTCCTGGAACTTACGAATATACAACTGCTGTTTCTTATGGAAAACGTAGGTGAGTTTGGAGAAGGTTCTTCAACAACAGTAGAGATTGCTTGCGACAGGTTTCATATAATTTCTATTGACAACTCTTTCTTATACGTGGAACAAGACATTGAAATAAAACTTCTGCCAAGTTGTCTGACAAGAAAGGTTGCAATGGAATTTTATGTCGGATACCAATATGCTCCAGAAGTTTTCATGGGATATAAGATATATTCTAACTCTGACTTAGTTCAAACAGTAACATGGGCAAACTATGAATGGTTCGCTTTGAGAAACTCAGTACAACCACAAGCTAGAGAACAAACAGACCAGTATGCAACTATTGAGAAAATAAGAAGGACTTGACCCTAACGTTCCAGGAGTTTATGTTAACCTTTCTGGACAAACTGCAGCAGCAGTAACCAAAGTAAAATTGAAACTTAGAGTTCCTTTGTCATCTTTCCTCATCTTCAGGTTTTTAAGATACTGCCAAACTGGGCAGGAAAATTTTCTATCGAACTTACTCCAAGCAAAAATAACTTAGTCATTGCACCAACAAGACCCATTCACTCTACAGAAGTAGTGGGAACAAATAAAATGTCATTCGCCGACTTTTGCAAAAACAAAGTTGACTTAGACTTTGGTTTCTCAAACCTCAACACTGAAGTAACTATTATTTCAATGCTGCTGGAGATGCTTGGGACCCAGTTAAGTTCACATGCGAAAAATTTGAATGCAAGAGAATAGAAAGCAGACTTGCAGTCTAATGTTGGACCCAGATATTTCAAATGCTTTAGCTGCCAAATATATTGCAGTTCCACTTATGTTCCCTATACACCAAATATCTGTCAAAGACTTTGCAGGTGAAGTTGGAAACCAAAGTGCTGACCCAGGTGCAAGAACAGATATTGCTTTAACAACTGCAATGAAACATGCAGATACTATGTTTGTACTGTTCAGACGAACTATAAATGACTATTCTTGCTTCTACAACCCTGGTATTAATATCATATAAACATAGATGGCAAATACTATCCAAGAGAAGAATATTCCACAGTTGAGGATATGAGGTCATACAACTTGACATTAGATGCTATGAACTTTAACAACAACTTCACAACAACCATTAACCCTGAAATGCAAAGTTCTATTATGCCATATGTGAAAGTAATGGACTCATACAGGAGCTCAAAAAACTCAATATACAAATGGAGACCGTTCAAACTTTTGGGCTTGGCATTCCATTTGCTGACTCAGAAGACTTTATGGGGTGGTATTTCAACTGTTGGTACTGTACAAATACAATATACTGGTGACAGAGACGGTCCAGATGAATTGAAAGCAAAGAAGTTTACAAAACCAATAGCACTTTTCACGAAGATGCTCTTTTGAAGATTTCGTTCGATGAAACCTGCTGGGGCTCCTCAGATTGGTATAACGACAGCTTCCATCGAGCAGATTTTGGCAGCAGGTCAGTAAGTTGTTCTTGAACTGACTTCTCTCCGTCAAATATTGACAGTACGCCAGTTTTGACATAATATTGTATTATAAACTTTCCTTTAGAAATATCTGTAAGTTTTGTTGTTATATTTTTGTCTGCTTCAAGAACTTTCACCATCTCGGTTATACCAACTTTCTTTGCTTTATGAAAATATTTTGGTTCAGCAAAGACTGCTATTCTATAACATTTTCCATTGTTTGTGTAAAGAACTACTCTGTCAATGAACTTGTATTGTTTGTGTGTGTAAACTTTGTTTTGCTTCATTCGAAGAGATACTCAAATACGTCCATCTTTTTATTCTAAGTAAAAATGTCATTTCCGAAAAATAGAAGCGTAAGTGTTTCAAAAGGTTTAATGGCGGTGGCAGATGTGAAGTTAAATTCACCAACTCAAACAAACAGTCAAAGTGTTGTTGTCAATGTCAAGAAAGAGATGTTGAAGTGGGGAAACCATACGAAGACGAAGATGGTATAACAATGTTCCTGTAAAAGAACAACCAACATATCCTGAAGTTAGCAGAGACTTAAGTTCTGTTGCAGATATTCGAAACGACTACCAACAACTTAAAGACAAACTTAAAACTCAGGAGAAGATTTGTCAGCTTTGGGTATAATGTTAAACTTGGTTGACACAACCCTGTAAAAGTGAACTCATATGTCATCGCACCTCATGAAATTTTGAAAGAACTATTGAAACTTTTGACAGAGGCAGACGATATAAACATCAAAGAAATAGAACCCGACATTGTTGCTGTGGTGTTTCATATAATGTCATTGACAAGATATACGTTATGAAAGGAGGTGAAACGTTGAACTTAAAATATAGTTTCCCAGACGTCATAAAAATATTTGACGACCACAACATTTCATTAAAATTTACTTGCTAAGTAAATGGCAGAAGACATATGGTTTATACTATTACGACTAAAAACCCTGAGTCATATAATTCTATAACAACAAACTTACAAAGTCCTCAAGGACGATATTGTAAACTGACCTTAAACACGATGACGACTAAAGCCTGTTTTGCTCTTTTGACACCAGAAGATTTATTGTTGTGAATGGTAAAAAATACTCTTTGAAGATACTTACTCAGATATACCACCAACAGGTTTTGTTGACTTATTTAATACTTTAAGGACGGATGTAACATGTGCTGCAACTAGAGCAGGTTTCATTATGTTTGGATGTCCGACTGAGTTTACTATAAACGATATGAGCTATAATACAAAACTTATATCTGGTTTTTACTACCAACAGTTTCCTATAACAGGAAAAGGTGTCATACAAGGAATGTCTATTCCATTGACTTTAAGTACACCTATTTTATATATTGTTTCAAACTTAGGTTCAAAGTGTTATTCGAATGTCGACAGAAACTACTATGACCAAAAGATACTCATGCGTATAAACAACACTTTCTCTGCTGGTTTGCCTATTGTTCATTCGAATGCAGAGTTTTCAGCTTTAGTAAACTCAAACACTTTAGCAAACATAAACTTAACCTTAGTTGACGCAAACTTTGTTCCTGTAAAACTTTTATGTCCTATGTATTTGTCAATGACGGCAGAAAGTTTCGAATTGGAAGATGCAACTGGTGAAAGTATTGTATTACAAGAACAACTTCAACAACAAATAGCTCAAGAACAACAAATGCAACAAATGGCAACAACAAAAGTCAAGAATAAAAAAAATATTTTTTTTATTTTTATAAAAATGTACAGAATAGACGTTTCAGATTTTTATGACTTCCAAGCGTTCAGAAATATGTGTCCATTTAGAGACTATAACAAAGCAGTCGAGAATTTGAAACGTTTAGTCATTTATGTTGACTCTGCCCCAGAATGTTATGTCATGAAAGAATGGGATGTTGTCTTTAACAAACCAAGAGCAACAATAGTTTCAGAACAAGAATGTAGACAGAAACTTAAGAAAATAAAAGTCGTACAAGTTGGCATGAAGATGTTAGATGCTTGGGATATCTTATTGTCAAAGTTAGAAGATTTTTCAGTTCGTGGTATAAAGTTCTATACACCTTCTCCAAACTTCTATTCTATCTTCACTGGATATAAATACGAACAAGTAGAATGGAAAGAAAATATTATAGAAGCTTGGTTAGACCATGTCAAAGAAATTATATGCAATGGAAACGAAAAGGTTATGAGTATATCTTATGTTGGTTTGCAAACATCTTACAACATCCAAGTGCTAAAAATGAAACTGCTCTCATTATAATTGGAAAACAAGGAACTGGTAAGAACACTTTCTTTACAGATATCTTATGCAAACTGTTAGAAGGCTATTCGAACCCGAATATGACAAACTTAGAAAACATCTGCGGCAATTTAACTCCTCAATAGAGAATATGAAACTTATAGTTGCAATGAACTTCAAAGTATAGATACAACAAAAGTTTTGAACTCAGATGCTTTGAAGAGTCTTATAACAGACAAAGTTGGAGTTGTTGAAAGAAAGTATAAAGACCAAAGAGTTTGTGAAAATGTTGCAAACTTCATTATGGTTTCAAACAATACTGTTCCGATGAAGTTAGAAAGTTCTGACAGAAGATATGTAGTTGTCAGAACGTCAGATTCTCATATGCAAGATACAGAATATTTTGACGACTTAGCAGAAACTTTGACATCTGACTTTTACAACCACTTGTTCTCATATTTCATGACATTAGATATTTCAAAGTTCAATCCAAGACAAATTCCACATACCGAAGAAAGACAAACATTGTTAGAAGCAAACAAGAGTGTATATGAACTGTTTATAGATGAGACTAACTTTGAGTGTTTAGATGAAAGGTCATTGTACGATGAATATAAACAATATTGTCAGAGATATGGTTATATGACAGCGTCTAAACGAACATTCTTGGCAAATGTCAAAAGTCTTTTAGACGTACAGAATGGTGTATATACAAAGAAAAATTTTTCTGAGTAAATTTAAAAAAAAATATTTTTTTATCCGATAGAAAAGATGACAGAAAAATTAACTTTTTACATAGCGCCAGACCCTTCTTGCCCACATCTTTTTAAGCCACAATATATAGACATAGAACTAAATAGTGAAGGCGAAATTCTACAAACAGAAGAAAGCGAAATTCCACAAACAGAAGAAACATATAGAGACCTAGATAACGAAAATGGATATGCGCTATTCTGGTTAGATTGTCCTTATGAAATGTATGAAAAAAAGGCTTTATATGAAGAATATAGAAAATATTGTCATGAAAACGATATAAGCCCAAGCTCTAGAGAAAAATTCTATGCTGGTATAAAACATCTTTTCGAAGTTCGGAATGGCAAATATAGAAAGAAATAATTTTTCTGAGTAAATTTTAAAAAAAATATTTTTTTATCCGATAGAAAAGATGACGAAATTCATCTCAGTAAACAAGTACATGTCAGGACTTAAAGAAGAACTAGACCCATTCACATATTTGAATGTTTACTTCTACCATTTTGAAAAGTCTTCATTCAGCAAAGTTTGGAACATCGAACCAGTTAAGTTTGCTATTGTGACTAAAAATGGTGCGAAATTTGAAGACTTAGACATTGACGGTATGTTGACAGTCAAAGAAAATTTTGACAGAAAGTTCTCAAACTCGAAGAAGGTAAAGCATACAAACTTGTTATACCTTATGAACCAAAGAAAGCAGACGACTATGAATATTATGAGTCTAAAGTTGTAGAAGTTCAAGGTAAATTGGGTAAAAAGATTTTAGAGTCTAAGCCAGTGTTTGCTCCTAAAGAGGAAGAGAACATTGACATCGACCCAGAAATGTTCTAAAAATAAAATTTTATTTTTACATGTCAAATTTCTTTTTCTCTGGAACTGGTTCAGGTTCTTTCTTCTCTTCTACTTTTTTCTCTTTCTTTTCTTTCTTTTCTTTCTTCTTCTTCTTCTCTGGTGGAGTTATGTCAAACTTCTCAGAACCATATTTTTGTAAAAGTGCTTTGTCATTTAATAGCTCTTCTATTCTGTTTTCTATTTCATTTTCAAGAACAGCGCATGTGTCTTCTTTGCATTCTAAGAACTTTTGTTGGACTTCATCTTTCCAATCGGCGTCATCTCTGTCAACAAGTCTGTCATTGACAAACTTAAAGACTTCTCTGCCTAATGTTTTATGGTTCTTGTCATATTCCCAGAAACAGAACTTTAGAACAAATTCACCTTTCTTGTTTACACTATGTAAGATTTTATGGTCGACAGATGTTTTGCTGTCGAAAAGCTTGTCTCGAATATAGATAGCGAAATCGCTAGACATTTTCTAAAAGATAAAAATTTTAATTTTTCTAAAAATATGTTAGAAAAAAAGTTTGCTGACATTGACAAAAAATTTGAGAATGTTTTAAACAAGAACAAGAGGAAGTTGGAAAATGCTCAGATAAAACCCATACATGACAAGTTCCTATTTGCTCAGAATGGTATAACAGGTCTAATTGCACCGCCTGGGTCGGGTAAGACTTTCACTTATCTTAAAATGGCTGCACAACAACAAGAACTAGATGAGAAGAACCCATTCTATGAGTTAGTTGTTATTTGTAGTACTTCTGGTCAATTTGACCAAACCGTCAATTCGTTCAAAGATATTATAAAGAAGTCTAAGTTAGTATGTATAAAGGATACTGAGTTGTTAGATTGGATAAAGAAGTACCAAAGAAGAGTTTTGAAGTATAATGCTATAAATGAGTATATAAATTCGAAGTTTAAAGACCCAAATGAGGAAATGCAGAGAATATTAGAGAAGAAACACTTCAGAAACAAACAGAAAGAGATAGAATACATTTCGAAGAAATTGCAATCTTACGATTGGAAACGTACCCTCATAGATGTCTTCTTATCTTAGATGACTTTGCTTCTCATCCTTTGTTAAAGAATAGAGAACAAGATATGTGTCGAATTCTTAAGAAGCTCAGACACTTTAACATCTCAGTTGTCATTTGTGTACAGACAGCCAAGAGTTTAAGTAAGGATGTAAAGAGAATCCTTACTGACATTGTACTTTTCCCTGGATTGTCCGAAGACGATTTCATGGAACTTATGAAAGAGTCCATGGCAGGTAAGTTTGACAGACATGAACTATGGGAGAAGTACAAAGTCATACAAGACCCTCATACTTCTTTCAGAATTCATATCTACGCAAACAAAGTTCAAATTGTAAAAAGTCAAGCTTGAAAAATAAAGAGTTTTGGCGACCAGGGTTTTTTCACTACTCGCTGTTCTTCTCTCGGTTTTCCGAGGGAAGCAAGCATATGTCATTTTACTCAGAATTTTGTTGCTGAATTCAATAAAAATAATGTTTAGGGTAGATGGGTATATCTAACCCGATTTCTAACCTCATTTCTACCCCAGTTATTTTATAAACGTTTCACATGGTAAACGTTATTTTTTAAATTTTGTGAAAACTCAACGGTTTGACACAAGCCCTAAAAATTATTTTACTCAGAATTTTGTTGCTGAATTCAATAAAAATATATTTTAGGGTAGAAGGTTAGATATACCCTCTTTTCTACCCTCTTTTCTACCCTCTTGAATTTTCATGAATTTTCATGAATTTTATAACCGTTTCACATGGTAAACATTGTGAATTCGTGAAATTCTAAACAATTTCGTAGCTTCTATTTCTTCTGTCAGTATGTCAAAAGTTTTAACGATACCGAAAGTCTCTTTATATTTCTTCTTGACGTCAGATAGAAGGAAATCGTCAGCAGTTGGATAGTTTTTGTTCAGAAATTCTAACATGTCCATTTTATTTTCTGCTGGCTTTTCTGCTTCTTTCTTTAAGTCAGCATAGTCGTTTCTCATTCTTTCTATCTCTTTGACGGAGTAGTTATATTTCCTCATTGCTGCTTTACATTTTGAACATTGCGGGTTCATTTTTGCGTTATATTCTGAAACCTTACCTGCTAGAACAACTAAGGCGTCAATGGTTTTCTTTAACTCAAAAGTTGCTGGTTTTATCTGTTCGTTCCATACTTTACCTCTTTTATCTTTATCTCTTATTTCCCAAACACATTTTGCAACTAACGAAACAAAGTTGTCGTAGGTCTTAAATTCTTCAGATTTGTATATGTCAGAGATGTTCTTATATACCATATCGCAATCTTTGTCCATGACTTTGTGGTTGCAATGAAATCCAAGGAATTCATAGTTTACCTTTCGTATGAACTTCTTTATTTCTACTGAGTCAGTTGCTTTGACTTCTATTTCATCGAATTCTGGAATAGTGAGTTTTTGTTGTTGGATTTCAGGCAATTTGGGTAAATGGTCAATAATGTCCTGCATTTCATAAAGATACTGTTCATTTGTTTCATCTTTCGCACTACAGTCTAAATTACTTGTTAAAAGTTCTTGCTTTATCTTCTGGATTTCTGTCTCAAAAGTATATGAAGAAGGAATGAAGCTTTTCATTTCTACTAACATTGAAGTTGGGTTCATGACTAACGAGTTTGGTGCTGTTGTTGCTAACATGTTCTTACAATAAAAATAAAAAAATATTTTTTTTAAAAAAACCAACTTTATTTTTTATTTCGGGAAAACTCATGACAAATTCAAGAGGGTAGAAAAGAGGTTAGAAATCGGGTTATATCTAACCTTCTACCCTAAACATTATTTTTGCCGAATTCTGTATAAAACTCATGACAAATTCATGAGGGTAGAAAAGAGGTTAGAAATCGGGTTATATCTAACCTTCTACCCTAAACATTATTTTTTGGGTGTAAAATTCAAATTGTAAAAAGTCAAGCTTGAAAAATCTAAGTGTTTAGTCTTAGTAAGATGGTAGCTTCTTAAAGCATATGCCGTCCTTGAGTTTTATGTACGTGAAGAGAAGTACAATGAATTCAATTACGAGTACAATTGCAATGACAACTAAGGCAACTATTTTTGTCTTTTGCCAGCAAGAGTACTTCTTCTCTTCCAATGGTTCGGCAGAACTATACTCACTCATGAGAAATGCCAAAACGGTTTAATAGAAAAAGTGTCATTTTTTTCATGTCCGAAGACTCGAAGGTGCAACACTTCCAAAATACCGACGAACTCAGAAGAGCAGCATGGCAGTATCTTCTTGACAACTTCTTTGAGTTCTCCAGGTACACCTTGGAAAATGCTGAAGAACTCCGACACAGAGAATTTGGAGAAATTGCACTCCAATACTACCTTGACAAACAAAGGGTAAACAAAGGGTAAAATAAGACTAAAAACTTAACGTTTAAAAAGTGACATTTTTAATGAGCTCCGAGTCACCGAGAAAACTTGGTCAGATGTTAGCAGCTTACTTCCCTGAGGAGGATGGAAGCGTTACATACATAAGGTTCAAAAACAACGAACCTGGAATTGCGTACCAAATTCGCAATTACATGACCGTGGAAGAGTACGAAAGGTTCCTACAAGAGAAACCAGCTCTAAACAACTCAGAAAAGAAAGAATAAAAAGTTTAACTCGTAATTGTTTATTTTTTTACTTGTATGGGCAAGCTGCAAGAATGAAGTCGACTATCTCAGTCTTTGTCTTGACCAGTTGGACTGCTCTTGCGAGTATGTCTGTTTTGCGGTCTCCAGCTGGTGTCTGACCTTCGTAATTGCGCATGTTCTTGAGAGCTCCAACTGTAAATGGCTGTAAGATGAAGAGTCTCTCAGACTGCTTGAGGTAGTCGTCTCTGTCTTTGACCGAATCTGTGGTACGAGTCGAATCGGTCGATTTGAGGGAAGAGACTGAAAGCCTGTCGTCTTCCATTGGAGCTGTAGCATACTCTTTGCGTAAGCGGTTCAGACCTTCTTCGAAGTCTTGGTCTCTCTTCGATTGGGATTGAGATTGGAATTGGAATTGGGGTGGAGGGTTTGACATGAACATCCAAGGGTTAGGGCAGTAAGGCATAGGCTGAGGAGGGTAGTTCGGGAAGCCTTGTGGTGGGTAGTAACATTGAGGTGGAAATTGGTAGTAATTTGGTGGAGGTACTTGCTGGAACTGAGGTTGCTGAGGTGCAGGGGCTGGTGCTTTAGGTTCCTCTGGCTTGGGAATGGACTCGGTTGGTGGTACGTCGGACATTGTCTTGAAAAAATAAAAGACTTGTCTTGAAAAAGTAAAAGACTTGTCTTGAAAAAGTAAAAGACTTGTCTTGAAAAAGTAAAAGACTTGTCTTGAAAAAGTAAAAGACTTGTCTTGAAAAAGTAAAAGACTTGTCTTGAAAAAGTAAAAGACTTGTCTTGAAAAAGTGAAAGACTTGTCTTGAAAAAGTACGGGTATCGTCTTCAATCAAGACCACTGTTCTCAAATTTGAGAACTTTACACCAAAAATTTTCTTGAAAAATAACGGGTCTTGTCTTGAAAAAGTAAAAGACTTGTCTTGAAAAAGTAAAAGACTTGTCTTGAAAAAGTAAAAGACTTGTCTTGAAAAAGTAAAAGACTTGTCTTGAAAAAGTAAAAGACTTGTCTTGAAAAAGTAAAAGACTTGTCTTGAAACAATGACCGACATAGACCCAGCAGATGAGGCAATCTACCTTATAGAGATAAATGAGCTAGTTAGGAACTACCTGAGCCATCTGAAGTCAAACAGGACCATTGCAGGCTGGGTGTCTGGAAGAGGTGCGCTTAAAATTGAAATTGACACCGGAATTGTCCTGCAAATACCAGAAAACACTCCTGTAGACGACATAAAAGAGATGAAGAAAGAAACCCTCTTGAAGTTCTTTGCAAAGCGTCCGTGGATACAACTTCCAAACAGAGAGAACCCAACTGTACGAATTGCCCAAATTCTCAGAGGACTCTTACACTTCTCGGGTCAGGCGTTCTTCATAAACACAGAAGGCGACATCGTACCTTTACAGTAAACATCTATATGGCACGCTTTGAGTAAAAACATTTTTTTCATTTTTGAATGAAGCAAGTTAAATTCGTCCCACACCAATCTCAATGGACCGATGAAGAGTTTCAAGCTATGGTTGAAGGTGTTGAGAACGACATAGACGGCGAACTTGAAGGAGCTCAAATCACAATTGCAACCAAAATTGCAGGAGTCAAGGAACAGATAGCTCCACTTAAAGCTACCAAAGCTACTCTTGACCTCATGGATAGTTACCGTTTAGAAGTAAAGAGTGGAATAAGACAATTAAAATTAAAACTTCTAAACTACGAAGCTATACTCCAAAAGTTAGCAGAAATGAGAAGACTTTACCAGAGCTACTTACATGTAAGGGACTTACCTTCAAGCAATCCGACCAAAGATGAATTTTCTGACATTGTCCCAATTTTGTCCGAAAGTCAGCTCAGATGTTTTGAACTGCTCCCAACATATCCAGAATATGAACGTTTGCCTGAACTCTTCCGCAATCTCAAAAAACGTTTTTTGGTTCTCATGTTCGAAACTTTTATCGGAAGAGACAACAAACGTTCAGAAGAAGAACAAGATATTATTTTAAACTTGTTGTATGACTTAACCGTCATAACAAGCTTTTTGAAGTAAAACCGTCATTCTCAAACCACTTCATTTTTTCGATGTCCGAACAAGCACCGAAGCCGAACACAATAGCAGATGTCCTTTCATGGTTGCCAGACAAGCGCCCAGTTCAAATTCAAATTGCCCAATTGAAAGTTCATCTGACAAACACCATTAAGACTATCCAAAGTAGTCTTATGGAAGAGATGACCAATCTCAAAGCCGATGTCCTCATGAACCAAGCTTCCAATGAGAAAGTCCTGAACGATTTAACGGAAACCTTGCGCATTTACGCGAGAGAGAACCGAGACCTTGCCAGACTCATCTACCGTTTCTTCGAAGAGATAGATGCCATCTGGAAGGTACTCGGAAAGGACAGAACCTCCAACACCGTAATTCGTGAACACAAATTGAAGAAGGAATTTCGAGGAAGAAGAGAAACAGAGAAGAGAAGAGGAAGAAGAGGAAGAAGAGAAACACGAAGAAGAGGAAGTTTGGGCAACCCTTGTTGCCGATGACACTTACGAAATTTCCCAACCCTACCCATACAAATCCGCAACAGGGAGACCGGCAAGGTTCTTACCCCAGTCCTCAACAACTTGGGACACTTGAACCTTACCTTCGGAATCGCGGTTCAATTTCCATGGGCAAGCTTGTCGCAATTCAATGGGTTCCAAATCCACAAGAAGACGAAGGTCAGACACATTGACGGTGACAAGCTCAACAACCGTAAGGAGAACCT